TAATACAACTGAATTTTAAAATGATTTATTTCTCCTTTCCACAATAATAAAATGCTTTTACTAATGAAACATTTTAGCAATTGTCGTAATCCACTCATACAAATGGTACATAGAAATAGCTCTGGCAGTAGCAAAGGTTACGCTGCATGGTGGTGGGTTTTCAGGCGTTTGATCAAGACATGTTATACGTGTTAGTTTTGGACACACCTCGTGACAGTTTTTCCTTAAACAAGGTACAGTAGAGTTTTGACTTTTGCACATAAATCTATATTCGAAGTTTGTTTATTCATTTAACTATTTGAATATATTTCAAATTACTCCGGATAGTAGTTTGTACACTTCGTCACATCGTGCTACGTCACTACTTCTGTCTCTGCAGAGAAGCTATCTGAGCTAGCCGCACTCGTTAAACATGAATAACTAACAATCAACACTTCTACATGTTAATCAGAGAATACTATACATTCTTAATACAGGTACACAGAGTTTTTCAGAGTGATCTGTTAACGTTTTCATGACAAAAATAATGTTTTAATGCAGGGGTCTTAAACCGGTTCCAGAAAGGTGATAAGAGTCATCTGTGATCCTGCTTAGTTTGGAACTGTTGGAAGTAAAAACCTGCAGCCACATGGCCCTTTCTGGAACTGGTTTGAGACCCCTGTTTTAATGCAACAAAAAGCGATCACGGCAAATCCAGAAGTAACCAATATTTGAATTATTTTCAAATATCGAGTTCAAAGTCAAATCACTGACGTACAGTCCGCTTTACTCTCGTCACTCATGTTTACTTAAAAAAATAAAAAAACCTGCAATATGGCCAACATCTTGTCCGCTTACCACTAACCACTATCCTGCTTTCTCGTTGCTGTTTTTCTGTGATCACCATGGAAACACGTGCCGCACAGCTCTCTGCTGTCGTGACGCTAGTGTGAACTAAAAATATGGGTACACAAGCCTATGGTATCGACCCGACAGACAGCAGTGGGAGTCGATGGAGAAGGTCTTGCGGTGAGATTGAGGCTCAAAGGCCAATGTTCTACCACTCATTCAACCCTCAACTATTGTATATGTTTTTAGTGGAAAGGGTCCTGAAGGTGGAATTAGGGCTGGGCGATAAAACGATAACGATATATATTGCGATAGACACATATTCGATATCAATAGAGAACGGGGTCGATAGAACTTTCAATAGTTTAACTTTTTTTTGATTTGATTTATTTCAAGCTTATAAACAGGAATCAATTTATAGATTTAAAAGCAATTACATACAATACATGATAGAAATTTACATACATACATACATACATTAATGTATATATACATTTTTATTTTTATTATTTTTATTTATTTTCACTTTTAATTTATTTTCACTCCTGTTAAAGCTCAAAAAGGAGTGGGAAGAAGTCAAACTTATAGGCTCCCACCCCCAATACCTATATTCACTTTATACGGTTGCACCTACCCGCCCACACATACATACAGACATAGCCATACATATACAATATTCATACACACATATTATAGTTGTTCTTGTCATGTATAAATATGTAACCATACACACACACACACAAATACACAAATATATTTTTATATATATATACATATACACACATACACATACATACATACACATACACACATATATATACATACATATATCCACACATACATATACCCATATACATACACATACACATACACATATATATACATACATACACACATTATATATGTTTTTTTGAAACTTTACTCCGTTCGAAAAAACAGGAACGAAACACAGGAAGTAAAGCAGAGTCAGAAGCGCGCGGCATTCTGGGGGATGTAGGCAGAGACTTCTCGACCTATCACAGCCGACTACAAACCGCAAAACTTTCTGGGAATGAAAAAAAACAACCGCACCATGCGTAGCGTCCATGGATCATGGATCTATTATAATAGCCCTGGATCTAAAGATCGTGTCTCAATGCCGTGTCAATGGTTAAACACGTCCATGCGAGGAACAGCATGTGCGGCGCGGGAGAGGCAGAGACTCGATGCATTCGGCAAAAACAAGAGATTAACTTTCCGGAGCCGCCACGGGGACACAGGACACTCAAAAACAGGTGCTAAACCAGGACTAAACGAGGATTAAACCAGGACTAAAGTGGGGGAGACTGCTTGTGAACATTTGGCTCCAGCCTCATTCCCCCGTGACTGTAAACAAGGCTGCTAACATGTGTTAGCCGACACGACAAATGTATTTATTTACGTTTAAAAAATTAAATAAAAAACAATCAATATATATCGTTATCGACCGATATGAATTACTTATATTGTGATATAGTTTTCAGCCATATCGCCCAGCCCTAGGTGGAATCAAACCAAGGACCTTCTCTTTTATCGTTTATCCCATCCCTAATTGACATGCATCTATAACGTATCCGACTTTTGGACCAGCTGTAAAGCAGTTTTCAAGAGGGAAAAAAGGCACCGTAAGATAATTCTGTCCGGGTACGCCACCACCGGCAAGGAGTCGGATTACAAGCATGTCAGCGCGCATGCTCACTGTCCCTTTTGAGTCAGGACCCGCCCCCACTTGTGTTTCATAGCTAGAAAGTCCTGGGTTCGATTCCACCTCCCAGGCCTTTCTGTGTGTATTTTTGCATGTGCTCCATGTAATTGCGTAAGTTTCCTCTACCACTAAAAAACATGACACAAGGACTGTAAAAATACTGTTAATCAGCGTGTAATGCCTGTAAACATATGGAGCTGTTGAACTGGAACGGGCTTTTGTGTCTGCTTTTTATATGTTTTAATCACCTGTTATTTAAACTGCAATATTTGTGCTAGCTTTACTGGACAATTTGTTCTATCTTTGCAATGTGATGAATTCCAGTGATAACCCAGCACTGGTTTCCAGGTTTGTGCTTGTGACACTGTGATGTCTCTCTTCCTTTGGGGCGGGATCCTCAAATTAGACTTGGCTAATCTCTCTCTCGGAGGCCATTTGAGGACAGCGATTATAATCTGATCCACTGTAATCATGTATTGTTTACACAGAGATGCCCAGATCTCAGAACAAACTGTGGCCACAAGTCTCCGGCCGCAGGGAGAGGGGGTCGGCCGACCGATAACATTTATTTGGTAGTATTATTATATTTATGTTGCACCGTACATTTCCACAAACCCTCAAAGTGCTGATATTTGAAAAATGTTTGCCGAGCACTAAATGTTGAGTAATGTATTATTGTAGGGCAAGCACCTAGTGCCTTTTTATTAGCATTTGCTTCACCCTATCCCCTTTCAAAGTTATTTGTCTGTTGAATTGATATTCGTGTCATTTTAAATAAATTTTACTGACTCTAAAAGTTTTTAGACTATATATCAGAATATCTATCAATTAGGCCTGTCACTATTATTGCGATAATATTGTCGTTCTGGGATAATTTTCATCTTAAACAATGATGCAGATACATCTTTTCAAAAAGAAATAAACTTATATTTTTGAAGAATTTTTAACACTAGAACACAATAAATGAACAAACAACCAAAACAAAAAATAAAATGGACTCTGTTGGCAAAAAATGAACTGGAATAAAACTGTCAGGACCTCTTTGTAAACAAAGTTTAGAGACATGTTTCATAGGCCACATGCAAAAATAGTTTTATAAATAATTTACACCAGTAGTCCCGCCTCTCCACATCGTTCAGACCGCTGGAACGCAGATGCATTCTCTAATTTCAGGGGTGTTCAGACCAGTACTCCTGGCCTGCGGTGGCGCCCGCCGGAAAAGGCAGAAGTAGCGTGCAGGCTTTGATGCTAACAGAGTTAAGCTAGCGCCCTTTTGTGTAAAGTTCTTCTCCAAAAATGCAGCTCTGCAGCGTCTCTGTGTCCAGGGACCTTCCAGAGATGTTATATAACAGCAGTATATGTTCACAACCACTGTGTCCCCCATTCTCAATCCTTGTTTAGCTGTATTTTGTATTTTTGAGTATTTTCAGTCTGCTCGCTAGACCGCTAATGTCCCTGTGACCACTTTGCGGCTCTCTGACCCGAGAGAGGGAGGGAAAGAGAGAGAAAACAAACAAGCATGCAAATGGCATTTATCGCGGCCAGAAAAATTATCAAGCTAATTTCAATAATACGATTAATTGATTTATTGAATATTGCGACAGGCCTACTGTCATATGTATACTACATATGCTCATATGGCGATACGGCTTATATCACTGCTCTGCCGAACAGAACGTTTTAAGAGATGCTTTGTTACTTCGGCTGTCAGACTGTACAACTGACCTGGATGAGTTTTCTGCTGCTGGACACCTTGATTTCCCACCTACCGGGAATCAATAAATTATCTATCCACATTTATATTCTCAGAAGGGACAAAAACTGCTAAAAACATTTTGGAACTGTGTCAGTGTTGTAATTGTTCTCTGAATTCATGATGCAGTCACTCCCACCAAGTCCTTGGCCTTTGATGCACAATTACGCAGACGTGACATGCTCTCATGGCATTGTTTTAGATGTCAGATTTCAAATCTTATCCTGAATAGAACCAGGAAGTATAATCACCTTAGTCTAGTTTATACGTTTCTGCACTGGCTTTCTGTGGCGCAAAGAATAGACTTTAAAACTGCTCTGCTCTGAATTTCTCTCCATGACCTCGCACCAAGTTGCTGCCATATGACCCAATTGGGACTCTGAGGAGCATAGGGACCGGTCTCCTGCTGGGACTCCTGAGGAGCAAGATCTTTGTTAAGCACTTTGAGTTGCTTTGTGTATGAACTGTGCTATACAATAAACTTGGGTGTCATTATCCCTGTATAGAGACAGAAGTGCATTATGTCTTTTAATGACCAATAAATACATATGTAGAATGGTGTTTGAATCTCCCGTAAACTTGAGGTAGCTCAAGTATTTTGTTGTACTGTTATTGTATAAATACATGTTTGAACATAAATACATGTTTGAATCTTGTGTCCTCAGCCTAGAGCGGTGGGGGCGTGGCTGACTCGAGATGGCTGCGCGTCAGAGGAACGCAGTGCGGATCCTGTCGAACCGAGAGCGTGGTGCGCAGACCCGAGGATCACAGCGACTGCTGCAGCTGCTGGTGGAGGAGAAGGTCCGCTGGATGAAATGGCAGAGTCAGGTCTGTTTGCATCTCGTAGGGCGGGTGAAACGTCATGATTAGACTGAAGATTCAGTAAAACCACATTGGAATACATTGTTAAAAGAACAAGTGCACAAGACAAGTACATACATAAAACAAAAAAAGTACAGAAATAAAACAAATAAAACGGTAAACAATTGTCACTGTGAAATTGATGGACTAAAAGAGTTTCGATACAAGTGCAAGATTATTGAAGTGCTCTATTCAAACTGAGAACAGCTTGTGGGAAGAAGCTGTTAGCATATCGAGATGTCCTGCATCTAAGCGAACGATATCTTCTGCCAGAAGGAAGAAGCTGGAACATGGCTTTTCCAGGGTGGCCAGAAGAGTCATTGATTATTCTAAGATGATATAATCAAATTACAAGTGATAAAGGACTTGGTATAATATAATAGAAATGGATACAAGAAATATGTAGGGAAACGTTTGTAGGAAGCCCGATTCCTTTACAGAAAATGTACTGGATCCTGGAGATAAATTATCTGTTTTTAGCAGCTTTCCCTGTTTCCCTTTTGCTTCACACTAGGCATGCACCAATACGATACTGGTATCGAGTTGATACCGTAGGCTTATACTCATACCATAGGACCCAATTCCGGCAACCATACCCACATTTTGAATTTACACTTGCACGACTACAGCAGACAGCTGTGCTGCACATGTTGGGCAAGCGGGCTAGCGGCAAGCGGGCTAGCGGCAAGCGGGCTAGCGGCAAGCGGGCTAGCGGCAAGCGGGCTAGCGGCAAGCGGGCTAGCGGCAAGCGGGCTAGCGGGTGAAAGAGTAGTAAACAAGTTACAAGAGTAAAGCAGACTGTATGTTGTAGGGATGTAAATCGGCGACCGTTTAACCGGTGGTTGACCGTCACAGCGTTAACCGGTCAAAGCTGTCGGTTAAAAAAAGAGAAAAAGGGGAGAGGGGAGGTCTCTTAATAACGCTATTTTAAGCCCTATTTGCACGGTGTGACGAGCGGGTCTGTATCTAGCTGTGTGCGCCCATGTATTATAAACTCCGGGACGACTCTCACCACACGCACACGCACACACACACGCATCATCTCTCCCCTCTGTTACCGTCAAAGTTGCACACTGGCGCGGGTCAGAACTACATTGGAGCTTACATTTACACATATACATACATACACACACACATACCATGTCGCGCTCCTCTGTGTCACGGAGCCCAAAGGATTCGCGCAAATACGCGGCTCCAGTCAAACCACATGGAACATGTTTGTGTTTATGGTCCTCGGGATCAGCTCCACACACATCACTTGTATTTAAACTTTTGTGAAGACCTGTGAGACGCGGCTCGTCACTCGCTGCTCTGACCATGTGAACGAGCCGTCGTTTGCTGCTAGAAAGTTTTGGTATTAACCCGCAGCACAGCAGAATGGGAAGATTAAAAAAGGAGTTCTCTGTGCGCAAAGGTGCCGGAGCTGTTGCGGGTTTGGGCGCCGCTGTCTCGGCTCTGATCCCGTAGAACGCTCAGCTGCACTTATGAAAAGTACGCGGCTCGAAATGGCTGTTATTTCAAAGAACGTGGACTATTTTAAACTACGCGGTTAACCGGTTTCAACCGGTTAATGAGGCTCGGTAGTCGGTCATGAAAATTCATAGTTTTTTACATCCCTAGTATGTTGTAAGGTAAAACTGTCACAAGGTGTTTTGACCATTTTTAGGCTATTTTGGACCAAAATGGCTACTTTAAATCAATATTTCTCAATATTTCTACAGTAAAAGTGTCTGGTCTTTGGTACAGTGGTAGAGGACAATCTTGAGGTCATGAATCCAGTGAAATTAGTCGCACACCTTTTTACAGTAAAAAGTTACAGTAGATCAAAAGTGACATGTTTTTGACTATTTTGGACCAAAATGGCTACTTTACCTCAATATTTCTCTACAGTAAAAGTTTCTGGTCTTTGGTACAGTGGCAGAGGGCAATAATAAGGTCATGAGTCAAGTGAAATTAGTCGCACACCTTATTCCAGTAAATAGTTACAATACTTGAAAATTGCACTAGCGGACCAAATTGTGTACTTTATACATTAAACAATAAGTGGCTATCCTCCTGAGGACTCACAATCTGCCGGAGGAATCGTAGGGGGCTGGTGCTATGTGTGCCGGGTGGCATCTCTATAAGGTTTTAATCACAAAAACGTGTCTCCCTGACCCCAGCGCGCTTTCTGTTCGATAAAAATGGGTGACTCCGAAAGGACGTTCCGCTGTTACCGTAAGTTCTCAACAAAAACGCGCACCGTCTTTTCCCCGATGCGGGCCGCATGTTCATAGAGCTGAAAGATGCGGGCCACTTTATACCGCGGTAAATTAATAGACACAGCTGCCTTACAGCGATGATCGCTGATGGAGACTGAGACACGCGGTGTGCACGAAGGGGGGGCTGTGTGTGTGTAGGTCTCTGTATGTGGGAGAGACGCGTAGCTTGAGTGAGAGTTACGAAGGGCCGCCACCATTTTAACCCCCCTCCCCACGCTGTCAAATTGACCGCTGCGGCGGCACTAGACGATGCAATGTTTTAAAATAGCGTAACAAAAAAAATATATATATAATAATACGAAACGCATTTGTGGCGGGCGGTCTCTAATCTGTGGCGGTGCGCCACAGATTAGTCTATGTGTGGGAAACACTGGTGATAAAAACTAAGCACCACGCAGAGTATTGAGATTCATTCGTTGTGACATTTTGTTCTGACAGAAAGTGGAGCTGCCGGACAGCCCTCGCTCGACCTTCTTGTTGGCCTTCAGCCCTGACAGGTGACACACGCACGCACGCACGCGCACACACACAGTAGCCTACAGTATGTACACACGCACAAATACACTTGCACACACACAGTAGCCTACAGTATGTACACACGCACAAATACACTTGCACACACACAGTAGCCTACAGTATGTACACGCACAAATACACTTGCACACACACACAGTAGCCTACAGTATGTACACGCACAAATACACTTGCACACACACACAGTAGCCTACAGTATGTACACGCACAAATACACTTGCACACACACACAGTAGCCTACAGTATGTACACGCACAAATACACTTGCACACACACACAGTAGCCTACAGTATGTACACGCACAAATACACTTGCACACACACACAGTAGCCTACAGTATGTACACGCACAAATACACTTGCACACACACACAGTAGCCTACAGTATGTACACGCACAAATACACTTGCACACACATACAGTAGCCTACAGTATGTACACGCACAAATACACTTGCACACACACACAGTAGCCTACAGTATGTACACGCACAAATACACTTGCACACACACACAGTAGCCTACAGTATGTACACGCACAAATACACTTGCACACACACACAGTAGCCTACAGTATGTACACGCACAAATACACTTGCACACACACACAGTAGCCTACAGTATGTACATGCACAAATACACTTGCACACTCTCACTATTATACATACTGAGGCTTCTCACATTCCCTCAAATAAATGGAGGGATCGTTGACTGTGACGGCGAGGAGAAAGGATTGAGCCTTTGCCAGAGTCTGATCTGTTATGTTTATGTGTGCAGGACACTCATGGCCTCCACTCACGTGAACCACAACATCTACATCACAGAGGTGAAGACGGGGAAGTGTCTGCACTCTCTGGTGGGACACCGCAGGACACCCTGGTGTGTGACTTTTCACCCCACAATCCCAGGGCTCGTGGCCTCAGGCTGCCTTGATGGGGAGGTGCGCATCTGGGACCTACATGTGAGTACAGAAACTTTTAACAAGGGTGTATGATGTAATGTGGACAAGGTGTTGCTGCTTAAACCTGTCTCCACAAGGATCCACCCACGGTACTGCAGGTTCCATATTACGCTTTTCTTCATGTTTCACAGTCAATCCTATGCACATGTGTGATAATAATTTGAGTGATACACCACACAACACTTACAACTTGTGAGATTATAGCCATCTCTTGCAAAGACGTGACATCACCTCGACTCAAACGGGCTGAACCAGAGAGCAGTCTGCTCCTCTGTCTGTGAGCCCGCTTCCCCCCGCCCGTGTGTGCATCTTTTTATTGTAGGAATAACACGGGTTTCCAGATCAGCTTTTGAGTAAGTCCAGTTCCATTGTTCCTTTAGTTCTGGAACAGTCATAGTGAAGTGTCGCAAATGAACAGATTCATTCAAACAGAGGCAAATCCACATGAAAAAAGTCGAGCCGCTTTGTTCCTCTTCAGGCCCAATAGTGCGTCACATATTTACACCCAAAACAAATTTTGGGGAGCTGGACTCGGGAGCTGGATGGACTCGGGAGCTGGACTCGGGAGCTGGACTCGGGAGCTGGACTCGGGAGCTGGACTCGGGAGCTGGACTCGGGAGCTGGACTCGGGAGCTGGACTCGGGAGCTGGACTCGGGAGCTGGACTCGGGAGCTGGACTCGGGAGCTGGACTCGGGAGCTGGACTCGGGAGCTGGACTCGGGAGCTGGACTCGGGAGCTGTGATTTGCGGTTTCGATTTTAATCCCCTCCCGGATTTTAGTATTATTATTTTTTAGTAATTTTTGACAACAAAAAGCATACTTATTGTGTATTTTCCCTGTTTTGACGATAGTATTTAAAAACCATTTTAAATACAAAGCAAAATGCTTATGCGCGTCATATTCGTCATCAGTGTGGTAATCGTCACAGATGTGGACTCGGGCGTTTCACTGCCTCTCGAGGGTGAAAGAGACAGATCGCTCTCTAACTTAAGCTTGACAGAATCATTGACAGAGCTACTCCGGGCATGTGCAATGAAGGCCAAATAGCACTGTAATCATGTTTAAAGCAGAGAAAAGTCAAAAAGCATAGAATGGGACCTTTAAATCCACATGTTAGATGTCCCAGTAGACCTCAGTATTCACCAAAGCGGCTCGTCCTCAGGTGACAAGAAACCTACAGCTTTTACAAAGGGTTTTAGTGTCAATTGTCATCCTGAACTTTTTTATTTATTTTTTAAAATTAATCGGTTTTCTATTAATCCACACTTCTCTCTTCTTGCTCTAGCTCCGTTCTAATCACCGGCACTCTGATTGGTCAGAATTCTCACATGTAGTTCTGCCGGAAGTAGAACCACGGCACAAGACCGGGAGAACTGGCCAGCATAAACTCAAGAGTTTTGGACATTGATCTGCATGGGCAGACATGTTGGCCTTGGTACAGGACAGGTGCAAAATCAATAATTAGAGTTTCATGAGCATCTTTTTGAACAGTTTGACAGCTTTTTTTAGCAGTGTGGATGAAAATATCAAATCTTAAACCAAAAAGTCAATTAATGACTCAAAAGGCTCTTTCTTAACTGCAAAGAAACCAAGATGGTCTGTTGTGGTTTGTTCTGTTTGATTGACTAGGGCTGTCAAAATGATTGCGTTAACGCGTGTTAATGATTTTTTTCATTTATCGTGTTACAATAATGTACACATTGAGTGCCGAATGATCCGCCCATGCATCCCTTAATAACACTCAAAAGTCCCGCTCAAAGGCTTCTCATTTTAAGATACCCTGTCCCCTACGCTCTCCTCCCATGAACCATGTAGTTTTAGTAGCAATCTGATAGACATTAGTTGGCATTAGAACAACTTCTTATTGGCTGTACAGCAATCACTAACGAAATGGTACAAAAGAAACTCACTGCTATAACTGAAAGATTACTGCTAGTTTCGCGTCTGAGGTGACCCACTAAGCTCGCTATATTCACCCGGGCTTGATCACTTCTTTGATCATTTTTTTTTCGCATTAGTTCCCTCTTCTCTTTCTCACTGTTGCGTTGTTTGGACTGTTTTGCTGTGTATGCAGTTACAGCCAGAGCAGGTATAGCCCGTTATAGCCACTCTCTGCCTCCATGCTTCTCTTGTTTACCTGCGCTGCAGACGTTAGAGGAGGCAGCCTGTTCAACAGCGCTGCCACTCATTGGAGGAGAACGAGCGTCACGCAAAGTTTCTACTCGGCACTTTTTATGACCTGAATTCATACACAAGCTGAATCAATTAGCTACATTTTTCAGTTCATTTACAGGTTTTGATACAACTTGTATGTGGTAATATGCATTGTTATGAACTCATTAGAAAATAAATCAGGTATAGTTCCTTCCAGAGTGGGTTTCAATGGACTGTAGACTAGGGGTGTGACGATATATCAAAAAATCGATATATCTTACCGCGATTCGATTATTGGTATACATTTGTCAAGTATCAATATCGATTTCGAAAAAAAATAATAAATATGCAGTTGCATCCGCGGATATGTGGAAAATTCTCATCCCTAATTTCCAGAATATATCACGTTTGTGTCACACACCTTGCAAACCGGGATGCTTTTGTCCAAGTTGCTGCTTTCATTATTTTTTTGGGAGTGTGCAGCGGTGAGGAGAGAGCGCCTCAGAGGTAGACGGGGACAGAGCGAGAGCAAAAAGAGCGAGGTGTATGTAAAGTTTAGCGTATTAACATTACGTGAAAAATAAATTGTAGATTTACAATCAGTAAACAATTATTTAAATTGAATACATGAAAAAAATTACACACTTGTTAATAATCATTGTCATATAACCAAGAACCACAGCATATATCAATACATGTTTAATAATGTGGTAAACATATTATTCCATTGTATTTTCAATGGAAAATGGACCCGACACGTGTCGTCGGACGTAGAAAATAGGATTGTTTCTATTTCATCCGTCCGCGTCCGTTGCACCCTCTGAATGCTTATGTATTGATACTCACGGCTGAAATTTTGATATTGTATTGCGAGGGGGAAAATCAAATTATTTCGCAAATTGTAGTATACCCATAGTACTAACAGTCAAAGCACCACAGGCCCTCTGTCTTCAAGCTCTTTGTCAAAGTGGTTGTAGTATGACAATTCATTGATTAATTCACTCAGATTTAGACATTAGAGATATTCAAAATGAATGTAAGTACTGTCTAACAAAAGCATTATCTGCTTTGTTCAGGGCGGCAGTGAGAGCTGGTTCACAGAGAGTAACAATGCCATTGCGTCTCTGGCTTTTCACCCCACGGCGCAGCTGCTGCTCATCGCCACCAACAACGAGTTGCACTTCTGGGACTGGAGCCGCCCCGAGCCTTTTGCAGCAGTGAAGACTGGCAGTGAGACAGAGCGTGTGCGGTACGATACAAGACAAGATATAAGGGTGCAAAAAAACATTACACCAGAGGTCTTAAACACATTTGAGCGAGGGGGCCGCACAGGGGTGAGGTCTCTAAACTCTATAGTTATCACAGGTTTGTGTACGTGTAAAATTGACCAACAATGAAATAAATCACAAAAAATGCTCATGCTAATTTACTTTGGACAAGCTGTTTAGCTCCTGGACTGAGCTCAAACGGTCTCATCTTCTCATTCTTTAACAATAAAAAATAAGGTAAATGTTTGTACTTGCAGGACAGAGAGACAATAACAGGAAAAATAATGAATGTGTTTGCTCAAGGCAATTTGTTTTTGTATTTTAGATTGCTGGGTCTCATAATTCTTTCTTTTAGAGCTGGATTAAGAAGAATTCCTTTATTCGTCCCACAGTGGGGAAATTTCGATGTTGCAGCGCACATGTAGGACAGTAGTAAGAGCACACAGGGAGCACACACAATATATATAAATAACTAGCTGTAGATGCTGAAAATGCTTCAATCCCAGTCAAAAAATATATATGTAGTAGTAGTGCAGTTATATATTGTACAGTTAACCCTCTATGCACATGGGTCATTTTGGGGAACTTTCCTCGCCTGGTTTTCTTTGTGTATAATTGTTCATAAAACAGTCATCTTTTGATGCAGAGTCAAGCAGTATACTTTGTTTTTTTCAGTACAACCTGGGGTTTTAGAATATTCATATTGTAAAGCTGTCATATGAATTGTAAAAAAATTATGGAATCATGAAGACAAAGAAAAAAATCAAACGGAAAATCAATTTAACAAAAATTTATTGAAAAAACACAATGAAATGCTATAAACAAATTTTTACACTGCATAGAAATGTTATTTAGGGACTTGGGGATAATGGGGAAAAAAATTGAATCTGTAATTATTATACTTGAATGATGCCCTTCCTGAAGCAGTTTGTCTATAATGCTGGGGTTGCTTCTGTAGCACAGCTGTAAAAAACGTAAAACATAAGAAACTGAGACAACAACAAAAAACATCAATTATTTATATAATACATATATTTATATACATCATAAACACATAATGTCATTTTACTGTATTTATTATCGTCTTTATCAATAATGCGCACTCTTCAGCCGGTAATTGCAATCGCAGCTGTAGTTTCAACTGTGGGAGAACAAGTACAGACAGAGGAGTGAGACATCTCACTCTCTGACGATCTTTGGCAGTCCCCGTGTGTTTGTATCTCACAGCTGTTTGTACCTCACGGGTCACGCTTTGGACACGGACTTTCAGACAACGTAGTTTATCCTCCGTGCATCGCACAGATAAATCAAAGCCTTGAATGTGCACTTCACAGAGAAAAAAAAAGTAAGTTGCAACGTTTTACCGTTCACAAGTAAATTGATCATTTGTAAAACATGTGCGCATGCATCGTCGCTGATGCAGACGGGTTCATAGGGTTAACTAGTGCAGGATAATAAGTAGATAAGGTAAAGTGACATTGTTCTGTGACATTGTTCTGTGACATTCTGATGTTGCAGTATTGCACATTGCACATGATTTAAGAATGTACTTAATTACAGATGAAATTTACAGGCTCAGCAGTTCTTGCCTCACTTTGTTTGTATTCATTACGAAAATTCAATCCATATCCATGCAATTTATTGGGATGTACGTCCTTTTGACAAATAAGTAGCACTGGTTTGTGCTGGCGTGTCATTTTATTTTAGATTGAATGTTCGTGCAACAAGGATGAGAATTTGTTTCGGGACCACATTGTGACCAATCACAGTGGACCACTGGCCCCCACTTTCTTGAGAAAATCTATAGGTCTCGCACAGACAGCTGAGTTAGACGAGCATCATGGCGTAGGCTAACCTGAAACTTCCCGTGTCTTCGTTACCGGTTATTGCTGATACAGCGAAACAGCCATCCAAAAGAAAGTTTTGTTCTCCGTGCTTCCCGGTTCTGTGATTCTATGGTCACGCCATCCACGTTCAAATGTGCGATCCATATTGTGAGACACGAGCTCTGTAAACAACAGCACATGAGCGCACGCTGAGTGGGGGGCGAAAGCTTCGTGAGTGCGGGATGGGAGCAGAAAGAGCGAGGGCAGTGCTTACATTTCAGCTTTAATTATGACTTATTGCAATTTAGGGTTTAATAATTATGATAATATATAAAGGGTGTGATTGTTTTCTTGAGCGCATTTATCATGGGAGTCATGGGCTAAAATGTTTGGGAACCCTTGCTCTAAGGGACTACAAAATTGCTTTTAAGATAAGATAAGATAAACCTTTATTAGTCTCACAGTGGAGAAATTTCAGTGTCATTGTTGCGCACATTACAGCAGAGAAAGGAAATAAGAGCACTCAGATTGCACACATCAAATAGTCTATTATTTAAGGTAATAGACAATAAATTTAAGATAAGAATAAAATAAAATAAAATTAGAAACTCTGGGCTGTAATTGCACTTGGTTCGGAAGTATTTACAGATGTCTATATTATACATTAGCCGCGGAGAATATGAATATGAGCAGAATAAACATCAGAAATAATATCAACAGGTAAAGTCAGGTAAAATCAGATGGATATGTAATAATACAGTAAAATATCAGTAGGTAAAGTGACTGGTGAAAGGCAGAAATATCAGATATGTAATAATGCAGTTGTACTGATAACAGGTCAAGTGACAAAGTTACTAGTGAATTATCAGTGACTGATTAGCAGTTCCTGTTACATTCTCGTTGTACAGTCTGACAGCAGCAGGAAGGAAAGACCTACGGAACCTCTCCTTCACACAGCGAGGGTGAATTAGTCTGTCACTGAAACTGCTCTCCAGGGCAGAGAGAGTTTCCTGCAGGGGGTGACAGTCATGGTCCAGCATAGATGTTAGTTTGTCCAGGACCCCCCTGTCCCCCACCTGCTGCACTGTGTCCAGGGAACAGCCCAGGACTGAGCTGGACTTCCTGATGACCTTGTCCAGCTTCTTCCAGTCCCTCTCTGTGATGCTGCTGTTCCAGCAGACCACACCGGCCCAAATGGCCCACGGGCCAAATGTTTGAGCCCCCTGCTTTAAACTAAGGAAACAAAACTCTAGCCAATAGAACTTTCACCTTTTCAGACTTTGTTTTCCTGATGTCAATGGTCAAAGCTTTACTCTGAACAGTCCGTTCTCGGTTCTCAATCCAGAGCGACAGAAGTGACTTGATAAACGTGTTTTCAGGCTGGTGCGGTTTGATCCTCTGGGACACAACCTGCTCACTGCTATCGTGAATCCGTCCAATCAGCCGGTAAGTTTTTGTCTTGCGTTTAAAGAATTTAAAAAAGAGGTTTTCCTATGGCTAACCCCTGTGTGTGCTTGTGTCTATGTGTGTAGAGCGAGGACGACTCGGAGGTGCCCATGGACAGTGTGGAGATGCCTCACTTCCGACAACGCTCGTTTTTGCCCTCGCAGCCTGTGCGCCGCACGCCAATCCTCCATAACTTCCTTCACATCCTGTCGTCTCGCTCTCCGGCTCAGGGCTCGGAGCAGCGCCCTCTGGAGGGTTCCCCATCTGAAGCGCCTCTGCCTCAGTTCTCCTCAGAGCGCAGTGCGTACCCTGGCTGTACACAGCACTTGGGGCTGGTTTGTCTGTGCAGTCGCTGCTCCGCGGTGCGACCTCCTCCGCTGGCCCCGGACACGGGACCGCCACCTGACGCTCCCTCTTCATTTTCGTCCGCGCGCACTGAGCCACGGCCCGACAGGCCGTCCGCCTTCACCAGTGTTTACTACAACGGAGCCCCTCCTCCACGTACCTCTTCCTCTGTCAGTTTGCTGTCAGCCCTGCGGCAGGACGGACGCTCATACTACACTTCCGCTAACGAGGGCCGAGAGCGCGACACCGGCACCAGCTCCGGGCACCACCCATTCTGGGAGGGCTCCCGGAGCTCTGCCTCCTTCAGGAACGTGCTGCAGTGTAATTTGAGCCGTTACTTCATGGAGTTTGACCGCATGTCTGAGCTCGAGCCTCCGAACCAGGAACTGCTCAACAACAACCTGGAGCCCGAGCGCCCAGGGCCCTCTGCCCCCACCATAATCCACTACCCGCCCCCTGCCCCCCCAGTGCCTCCCCCTCTCCCCCCTACACCCCCCTCTGAGGGCCACTCGGGCCCCGGAGCCCGCGGACACCTGAACCGCTGCCGAGCCTGTCACAACCTGCTCACCTTCAACCACGACTCCCAGCGCTGGGAAAGGACCGCCCCCACTGCCTCTACCTCTGCAATGCCCCTGGACACGCCCACATCGTCATGGGGACCTGAGGAGGAGCCCGAGCGACGGCCGGAGCCTGAGCAGCCCCCCGTCCCCCCACAGGAGCAGACTGTGGGTCTGGTCTACAACCAGGACACTGCGCAGTGGGAGCGCGTCTACCGCCAAACCAGAGAACAGGAACAAGAGGCCTTAAGCCAAGAGGTGCCTGTGGACCCCCCCGACGAGGACTCTCTTCGAAGGTGCGTTCGGGGCCTGGTTAGGGCCTGGTCAAAGCCTTGTCTGGGCCTTATCTGGTCTAAAACTGTCTAAACCTGGTGTAACCTATTGTGTGTCCTCAGGCGTCTTCTCGAGTCTTCGCTTTTGTCTTTGTCTCGTTACGACATGACAGGGTCCAGGGACCACCCCATCTACCCCGACCCCGCCAGGTGCCTCAGTCTCTCCAGTGACATAAAAGTAGCTCTCACATCTGTCCCTAACGCCTTCTGCTCCTCAGACTGTCGCCCGCTGCTTATTACGCCCAGAGGATGATCCAGTACTTGTCTCGGCGCGACAGCATCCGTCAGCGCTCGCTCCGGTACCAGCAGAACCGGCTCCGGGCAATGTCCTCATCCTCTGACATCCCCCAGAACGGCTCCTCCGGCTCCATGGACAACAGTGACGTGGACTTTGAGGAGCTGGAGTGAGTGCACAGCTTTACTTCACCTGCTATAGACATGTTCTAGACCTGTTTTTTGGTGTAAAAGACAAAAATAGCCCCCTTTTTAACCTACAGCATTGTTCCTCATCAAAAACAGACCTGAAGTTGTTTTTACCCACATTCATGCTAATATTAGTGCTGTAATTAACATTTTTCTTTGATAATCAGTTGATTAGATCCTAAAGCTCAAATGTGAATATGGGATTTCTATTCTACATTTTACCAAAACAAAACTCAAGTGATGCCCTTGGGAAACATGTTTATTTAAATACAGTACCCGTCTTCTCTAAAATGATTAGTTGCAATTTATCAATTACATGCCCAATCTCAGACAAACAAATATTTTCCCTCCAGGGACAACGGAGAGCGAACGAGACACAGGACAACTCGGAACGCCCGGATGTCTGCGCCTTCACTTGGACGGTTTGTTCCACGGTGAGAATCCTGCTCTTTTCCATTGTCTTCAGCTGGAACTTACCATTCCTGTGTTTTTTTCCAGCCGTTTCCTCCTTCCGGAATACCTGCCATACGCTGGGATCTTCCACGAGAGAGGCCAGCCGGGTTTGGCCACACACTCCTCCGTCAACAGGGTCCTGGCAGGTGAGACCCATTCACTACAGGCTGCTATCAGTGATTGTGCTGCGTGAACTGTACTGACCACTCTAATATTATGTTATAGCAATAATCTATTTGTGGCTTTGCTGTAGGAATATATATTTCAAAAATAATATTGTAGTTTTTTGTCATTTAAAGTGATTGTCTGGAGTTTGTCAGAAAAAAAGAGAGGTACATGGTAAGATAAGAATTCCTTTATTCGTCCCACAGTGGGGAAATTTCAATGTTGCAGTGCACATATAGGACAGTAGTAAGAGCACACAGGGATCACACACAATATATACATAACAAGTTTCTTAGTTAACATAACGAGCTGTAGATGCTGAAAATGGTTCAATACCAGTCAAAATATATATATGTAGTAGTGCAGTTATATACTGTACAGTTAAATAGTGCAGGATAATAAGTAGAAATAAAGTGACATGACAATAAAGTGACATGAGGTAAAAATAGCTGAATGAAAAAAAACGACCCAAGCTCCCTCCCCCTTCTTTTCTGATTGGTCTACGCCTACGTTTCCGTAACAATCAATCAACACATTTAAATGTTAATCAGAGAACACATTATACATTATTGATATACGTGCACAAAGGTTTTCAGAATTATCTGTTAACGCTTTCATGACAAAATTGTTTTAATGCACAAAAAAGCGATCGCGGTAAACCCGGAAGTAGCTATTATCAATAATTGAACATTAGAGGACACATCTGCAGAGGATCTGATTATGGATATACAGCAGGTTCGGTATAGCTATTTTTGTAGCTAGCTTAGGTCCTAGATCATTAGCCTGTCCGTCCGGAGGAGCGGATCCCTTTCTCAAATGGGTCCCACTGGGTTTTTTAAGAGTTTTTCCTTGCCGATGCCGGAGGGTCTTGTTGGCCAGTTAGTGTCCAACAGAAAGGATTGGTGATGATCAGGACACTTTAGCATTCTACAACATGTATGGACATTTTCTCCTGTGTGTGCTTTATATTTTTCATGTGTTTTAACTGTTGATTCTCTGACCTGTGTTGGTGATTTCAATGGTTTTGTTAAGTCCTCTGAGATTACTTCTGTTGTGACTTAGGGCTATACAAGAATAAATTGTATTGTTGTGTATTTTATTGTATAGAAATGGGTAACTCAGCGCAGATGTTCAGAATTCTTTGTTCAGTTTTCATGTAGTTCCAGAGCTTAGTGGAGGCTTGATTCAGAGGCTCCGTGAAAACAAACAACTGAGCATGCGCGCAGCTACGAGCATGAGCGCAGATGATTGACAGCCCTTGGCATCACTTGATTGGTTAACGTGGACAGCAGTGTGGCTTTTGAGCTATAGATAAGAGAAGGGAAGGCGGGACTTACTCGTAATATTAGAATTCATAAAATGACTTATTTTATATCAACATTTAAGGCCAGGAGGTCAATTTGATACAATTCTTAAAATATGTAATTCATTTAGAGTTCCAGACTATCACTTTAAAGAGACACTGTGTAATTTTTAGTCATCTAGCGTTGAGATCTTATATTGCAGTCCAAGGTACTACGGAAGCCTTTGAGTTGAGGAGCACGGTCTTTGACAGTGCTCCTCAACTCCTCAGTGCTCCTCTTTTAAAACTTTTCACAGCTTGTTTTGGAGTGTGATGAATCCCCAGTGCTTCAAGGTGAAACTTAATATATCTTTTCATTTCGCTGCAATGCCTCAAACCCTGTCTGAATCAATGCTGTGCTGTTGTTCGCTGATTCTAGTGGTGTCTGCTAGGCTAATGCTGCTGGGCTATTGCTGCTGGGCTAATGCCAGTTGGTTGCTGCTTTCTGCTGGCGTCAGAGCCTGTGCTAGCTTTAGCGGTTAAAGTTAGCGCAGGCTAAAGTTTAGCCTATCAGTGCCGGGTTAACAAAGTTCCACCAGGTCCCAACGGAGTACCTAGCATGGAGGAGGGACTTCGTTGGGCCCCGTAAAAGTTCCTGTAAATGGCCCTGTGGGGAAAGTTCCTGCAGTGGAGACACACACTGAATCGGCTGAACATCGGCCGAGGTTTGCATTGTTAACTACCATTGGTTAAAAAAAAGAAGATACCCAGGGTAGGCGCATGCAAAGAGATACCGGACATTTCCAAAAAGTCTGGCATTAGCAGCGCACACACTGGGGCACAGTGGTGGAGTGGATAGCACTCTTTTTTTTTTTTCTCAGCAAGAAGGTCCTGGGCTCGAATCCCGTCCGGAACAGGGTCTTTCTGAGTGGAGTTTGCATTTTCTCCCCCTGCCTGCGTAGGTTATCCCCAGGTGCTGGTTGATCCACTAAAAGAACATGCACACTATGTAAATCCTCCAGCTTTGGTAGTCCTGACCAAGCCAAGCACCAATATCTGGAGATGGGTTCCTGGGCGCTCACACAAGGTCCACTCTCGTCTCACACAGTGTGAGCAGGTGAACGCGTGTGTCTATTTCTCCCTCTGCATACAGTGCATCACATCTGACTCACTCGGATTTAGACATTGCCAAAGTTATTTGCTCCGTCTCTAAAGGACCCCGCTGCTCAAAAAACAAGCACTCACGTCCGGTGAAAATTTGACATATACTTGTAATTATGTACTTTTGAACAAAAAATCTCTTTATTTATATGATTATATATAATATATTCTCTATATTATATATAATCAAAAAGAAAAAAACATTGGCCGTCGGCCCAGTTGCTATGTTAAACATCGGTATCGACCCAAAATTTCACAATCTTTGCATCCCTACTGAATTTGGCTCCAGATTCCCGTTCATGGAGCCTGTTTGTTTAGCACTTATAGACCTCTTCAGGGGAACAGCCAATTGCTCTGGGTGACGTCACTTCCCTCCCTACTATTTATGGACAGTGGTCATCCCCTCCCTATGGATCAATCAATCCTCCTCCTTATTAGGCCCGAGCCCCGACTGGGGTAAAGGCCTATTGCTTTCACAATAGTGAATGCAAGGGGTTGTGGTGTGTGATGGACGCGTCAGTGCTCGTCACTCACCAAAACATGACGGTTGTGTGTGTAAACTCAAGCGCTATAAAATTATGTATCATGTGCCATTGAAACCTATATTGTTTGTGTTCAGAGACTTCTGCACTTTGCTAAATAGAAATTCTGCACTTTGAGACTTAATTTGACCGCGTGAACCTGTATGAAAACTATTCAGCCCAAAATTCAGAACTGGCAAAAAAAATTATGTTTGCGGTGTTTATTTTTATGGGGCTAAAAAAATGCCACAACAGCGCACCCTAAAAAAGACAGTTTACATTGCGCCTATTGGAGAGGTTCCGAGGTCAAGTTTGTCGTAAAGCCACTCAATTTGGTACACATGTTCCTCAAGTCAAGTCATGAAAGAATGTTATTATGGCCACGCCCCCTGACAAACATGAAGCCCATAAATGTAATTGGAAAATGGAAAAATGAAAATTGATCATTTTCACACGTCGGTTGGAAATCATCTCCTCGGCCGTTTCACAGATTCGCCCCAAAATCGTGCCACATCGTCTAAACATATCAGTTACACGTTGTTCAAGCAGTTGCAAAATGTGACTCCACTGATTATTCATTCATTTTCATCCCTTTATTATCCATTTCTGGGTCAGGGGGGGTGGCAATCAGAGCTGCCACCCAATTCACACAGCACCAGTCCCCCACTGATCCTCCTACAGTTGGTGGGCCCACAGGAAGATGGCTGTTCCTTCAATGCAGATACGGCCAACTGATTATATTCATTACAATTTTAAGAACATTGTTCTATGGCTACGGGAGCAAATCATGGCGTGGTGGCCCCCCCTCCTTTGCGTGGGCCGTTTGAAGCAGACTTGTTTTCGACTTGTGTTATTTTTGAGGACCCTCTCAAAAATGAGATGATGCATCTCAAGGGGCTATTCCTCGTAATAAAGATATGTCAACACATCTGTTGTTTGCAAATCAACATCTTTTGTGACGTCCTGCAAGAAAAGTGCTGCACCGATACTTTGAATTAAATTGATGTTTAAAACCTTTTTGTTTCCCCCTCTGCAGGTGCTTCTATTGGAGACGGACAGTCGGCTGTTGCCAGTAACATCGCCAACACCACCTACAGGCTGCAGTGGTGGGACTTCACCAAGTTTGACCTTCCAGAAATCAGCAACGGTACAAAAAGAGTGGATTTGAATCACTGACATTTGTCTTATGTTCTAGGACAAAATATATAAACACCTGGTGTGTTTTTGCACCTGTAAATTACTCTATAAGAATGTATTTAAATTAGGGCCGGGCGATATGGCTGAAAACTATATCACGTCATTCATATCGGTCGATAACGATATATATTGAGTTTTTTTTTTTAACCTAAATAAATATATTTGTCTTTGGGCCTGGAGGTCGTGAGTTCGATTCCCACCATGGGACCTACTCCAACTGCTCCCACTGATGACTACTGTCGTTGTGTCCTTGGGCAAGACACTTAACCCCACATTGCCTGAAGCCCCCCGCTGAAAGATCAAGGCTGTTTCACAATTGACGGAGCAGCCATCTTCCTGTGGACTCACCCCCTGCAGAAGATCAGTGAGGGACTGGTGCTATGAGCGTTGGGTGGCAGCTCTCATTGCCACCCCCCCGACCCAGAAATGGACAAAGGGGTTGAAAATGAAATTAAATGAAAAAAATGAAATATATTTGTCGTGTGGGCTAACCAACCTTAGCAGCCTTGTTTACAGTCACGGGGCGATGAGGCTGGAGGAATATATTCACACTGTGTCCCTCGTTGTTAGTCCTGGTTTAATCCTGTTTTTTTTATTCCTGGTTTAGATCCTGGTTTAGCTGTTTGAGGGTCTTGTGTCCCCGTGACCGCTCCGTGCGGCTCTCTGTGCCGCACATGCTTCCCGAGGAAAAAGTTAATCTCTTGCTTTCGCCAAATACATCGTGTCTGTCCACTGCCTCTGCCGCCGCACATGTTATTCCGCGCACGTACGTGCATAACCATTGACATGGCATTGAAACACGAGCTATAGATCCATGGACGCTACGCATGGTGCGGTTGTTGTTGTTTTTGCATTTCCCACAAAGTTTTGCGGTTCCTGCTCGGCTGTTATTGGTCGAGAAGCCTCTGCCTACATCCCCCACAATGCCATGCGCTTATGAGTCGGCTTTACTTCCGGTGTTTTCTTCCTGTTTTTTCTGACGGAGTTAAGTTAAACTATCGAACATTCTACCGACCCCATTCTCTATTGATATCGAACACATGTCTATCGCGATATATATCGTTATCGTTTTATCGCCCAGCCCTAATTTAAATCTGGCCTACAGAATGTTCAAACAGCTAAAATCTATTGAACAAAATGTAAGCACAATATACCAATAATCTCTCAGCCCAAAGCATCATATATTGACTAACATGGCTCTTATAAGTGAGCAGTAGTTCAGAGGTTTTTTAATTGAATATGTAGCTAATTCTTCCCCCCCATGTTTTGCGTACATGTTGTTTGTCCCAAGCATGTTGTGTGATATTATGTGGAGGGTGTTACTGCTTAAACCCGTTTCCACTTGGACGAGAGGCTACCCACGGTCCGCAGCTCGAAGCCACATGAAGCAGAATATTATCGATCTTGCTGATGTTTTATCCTGCTGTCTCCATCTTCAGCCTCTGTGAATGTCCTGGTGCCAAACTGTAAGATCTACAACGACGCGAGCTGTGACATCAGCGCGGATGGACAGCTGCTTGCCGTCTTCATCCCCAGCAGTCAGCGTGGCTTTCCCGACGAAGGGATCCTGGCAGTTTACTCCCTCGCCCCTCACAACCTCGGAGAGATGCTCTACACCAAGAGATTTGGTACAGGTTTAAATTAAAATGGTTTGATTTTAGAATTCAGAATGTCAGGTCTTTCTCCATCTGAAATTCATTCCAGTAACTTGCAATGATCATAAGAGGTTTATATGGCTACTATGGCATGCTAGACATAATTTGTGGTGATGTGGTGCAGGGCAGCTGAATAATCTTTCTGGGGAATGAAGACTTGATTCCTGACTATTGCATTACCATAGTTAAGAGCTAACTCCTTGGTTAATCAACATGAGACAAAACTCACTAAGTCCTACATCATCTTTGTCAGCACATACCAAATGATTGGTCTGATATGGTCTGATTATTCTATCTCTGGTCTCTGCTCTATTCATCTTCCTCTCTCTGCTCTCTCCTGTCTTACTCTGGTTTCTCATTCTCTCTGATTTCTCTCTCAGGTCTCTTTCTGGCCTCTATATCAACTGTGGTCAAATATTTTTTCTCATAAAGAAGTTTTGGCAATACTCAAATGCAGGATGATGGCCAGGAGAAAGGACTTCCAGATATGAGAATAATAAAAGCCAAGGGATTTGTTAATCTAAATATTATCAAATGATGATCTGGGATAACGGGACAAAAATCTGTCTGTCACTCATTTGGCCTTGTTCCGACAAATGAGTGACAGACATTACCAGCAGCTGCTTCAGGCCTTCAGCAGCAAAGATGACTTGAGGGACTTTCTTTGAAAATCACAAAAAATGGGTTGGGGGGGTGGCAGTTGGAGCTGCACCCAGTACACAGAGCACCAGCCCCTCACTGATCCTCCTGCAGGGGGTGAGTCCACAGGAGCACATACACTCATATATAGTCAAACCTAATTTAAAACATGTTATATGTTGTAAACATGTTCTTTGATCAGTTTTAAAGCCTTAATTTATTTATTTATTTATTTATTTGACAGGGACAGTACAAAAAAACATTGTCACCCACAGGTAACCGATGTGAAGTAGACAAGGCTTCTAGCCAAAGGCTAATTTGCAGCCCCCGTCCCTGGTTAGGCTTTTGGAGAAAGCGAAGAAACAAGTTTTAAAAAAGAACGGGGATAAAAGAACAACCACACATCAATAAAAATAACTGACCCCATTTGTCCATACTACATTCAGGTTTAGTGCTCACACTTCTGATTTTCCTTAAGCCACTTTTTCAGTTTAGTGGAGAAAAGTCCAGCTGATGTGGTGTGTCACTTGCTCATAAATGTTATTTTAAATTAATACACGTTTCCTTCCAGGTCCGAATGCAATCTCTGTGTCGCTGTCTCCGATGGGCTGTTATGTGATGGTGGGTTTGGCTTCACGCAGGATCCTGCTGCCCCCCACTACCGACCACATGGTGGCTCAAGTGTTCCGCCTGCAGCAGCCACACGGAGGAGAGACGTCCATCAGGGTCAGTCACACAACCTCCTTCTTTGAGTGTTATTATGAGATTATTTCACCAGTCTAAATGCTTTTCATTGTATTTAATTGTAAAAATTATATTACAGTCCTAATTGTTTGAGTTTGTCTTTATACACAGGGCAATTTCAACTCAGTATATAGCGGTCCACCTTTCGCAGCTATACAATTGTGTTCTTAGTGAAAGTTGTGGATCACAACCAGGGTTTTCCAAGTAGTTTTTCAATATTTCCTATAAAACTAAAACATTGAAACAAAATGTAATCGTAATATAAACAAATCTACATACAATTTAAATATTTTTTTAAGTTCACTTGTATCTACTGAACAGTTTGCTGCTTGCCCAGGTTGACGGGGGTTTGTGTGTTATGTTCAGATGGTGTTTAACGTGGTCTACCCCATGGCTCCAGACCAGCGGCGTCACGTCAGTATAAACTCTGCTCGCTGGCTTCCGGACCCGGGTATGGGTCTGGCCTACGGGACAAACAAGGGAGACCTGGTCATCTGCCGCCCTGTGTGAGTGTGGATCCCAAGAGCCGCAAAGGCGACAAAAGCAATATTCATGCTGAGAAATCATTGCTGTGCAGTATCGATCGCCATGGGTCTTTTGTGTTTATAAATATAGATAGAGATATAGGGATAGAGAGATATAGATATATGTATGATAAATATATATTAGGGCTGTCAAACGATACACATTTTTTTGTTGATTAATCGCACAGTAATGGTGAGTTAACTCATGATTAATCGCATTTTTAACGTACTATTTCAAATCCACTCCAATTGAAGTTAAATGATATTATCAAATGTAATGACACATTGTCATTCATACCAAATGTACTTAAATCTGTTAGATTTAAGGTTCTGTTAGAACCTTTTTCTTTTGGGTACAACCGAAAAGAGCTGTTAATGAAAGGGGGAAATTTACGGCGAGTTTAGTTTAGCTTTAGGAGAAGACACGGACACTTTCGCAGTGTATTTGCGTGCATAGGTTACGCACAGGTTGCAAAGACACAAACACAACATGCAGAGAATAGTTCTAGGCGTGTATGGTCTTATATGACCTCGTTACCGCGGTGGCATTCGCTCACAGCCGTGTTGTTGTTCGCGGCTCACAACCAGAGCGGCCGCGGAGGAGGCGGACTTAAGTTCATAGTAAACAGCCCCGCGGTCACGCGCGTATTCTTTTAAAACTTGAATTGCAGAAGGCCTACCTGCTCGATGCCATCTCAGCATTCTGAGTGATATTATGGTTAAATGGGCGGGTGATTCGGACATGCGTTAATGCTTGAATTTTTTTAACGCATTTATGAACATTTTTATTAACGTGAGTTAACGCGATAATTTTGACCGTCCTAATATATATATATCATATATATAAATATGCAGTATATATATATGTAAGAAATATATATGTATGTATATGTGTGTATTATATATATGGCTCATAATACTGTTTATTCAATGCCTTCAGTTTTATCCCTGTAGTTCATCAGTTGCTAATTTCCATGCCTTGTGTTAGGAGTGGCTTCACGATGGCTGTGATGAGATTATCTGAATGTGCTCACAACAGGAAGAGTACTAATAGCCGCAGCTCGTTTGTGGCGTTAACCAGATCGCTCCTCCTCTGCTTTCGATGTTTCCTGTGCTTGACTCGATTAACTCCCAACACTGTTTTTATGGATGTATTTGTGGATCCTGGGCCCTTCTTTACAATCAGGACTAGACACGCACCTCATTCACTCTGCTGGAGTTATTAAACCTGTGGAGCCGTTGGTCTTGTTAAGGTGTCGTTAACAAATCGGACCACATCAAGCTGTCTTAATCTCATTTAGAAAACATGAGAAAAAATACATGCATGTGAAAACTTGTGATGGAACAAAACTAGCGAGGAACGAGTGATATGGATTTTACTAAATAGTTAGTTGTTTTGGATTGAAAGTTGGGTACCCCAATTTTAAAGTTGGGTACCCCAATTTCATGTTTCACAGTCCATCCTATGCACATGTGTAATAATAATTTGATTGATACACCATACAGCGCTCAAAAGATTATAGGCATCTCTTGCATAGAGGTGATGTCATCTCAAAGGTGCTGATCCAGGGAGGAGTCTGCACCCTGTGAGTACATAGTCACTTCAGACCTGAGAATAAACTTTTTCCAAAAATGACAATCCGTCACATCAAGCCCTATGTCCTCAATCCACAATCAGAACCTAATTAATTAGTTAACAGAAGTATACGATGAGTTAGTAGCACTGTACTTACAGATCAAGGTTTTATTGTGGGAATAACACTGGTTTCCAGATCAGCTTTTGACTATGTCCAGTAGGTGTGTGACGATATATCGCGATACTTTCTCCCGCGATTCGATTATCGATATGCATTTGCCAAGTATTTTTTTTTTTTTTTTTTTTTTTTTTTTTACAATTTTTTTTTAAATTGGTATCAATACTTAATATATGGCTACATTACGCATATCCATTCTATTTATCATGAAATAAAGAGTAATTTTTCTTTTATTTATGCCATAAATTGTCATATTGTATATTTCTGACCAATATATCAATAATCGTCGTATCGTGATAAAATTGTTATCGTGATATTATCGTTGTCGTGAGCTTTGTATCGTGTATCGTATCGTGAGGTACCCTTAGGTTCCCACCCCTAATGTCCAGTCTCACGGTAACTGTAGTTCTGGAACAGTCTTGGTGAAGTGTCGCAGATGAACGGATTAATTCAAACTGAGGCAGATCCCCGTGAAAAACGCTTTCTTCCGCTAAATAGTGCGGCACATTTACAACCAAACACAAATTTTTCCCAAGTAGACATGTTCCTAACACTTTTAGTCGCTGACAGAAGTAGAAAAACAGTATAGCTCCATATGGTGTCCGCGGGACTAAACCAGACATACGCTGGACTCGGGAGCTGGCTGTGCGTGCTGATTCGCTGTTTCGATTTGTCAATCACCTCCTGTATTTTATTGTTATTTTTATTAATTTTGACGACAAACAGAATATTTATTGTGTATTGTTTTCCCTGTTTTGACAACAGTATTTAACAACCTTTTTTTTTTTTTTTTTTACTGGCTTCAGCGCATCATATTTGTCATCAATGTTGAAATTGTCACAGATGTGGACCCGGGCATTTCTCCAGGGTGATGGAGAAAGATCGCTCCCTAATTAAAGCTTGACAGAATCAATGAAAAAACTATGCTGGGCATGTGTATTAAGGTCAAATATCACTGTTAACATGTTTAAAGCAGAGAAAAGTCAAAAAGCGTAATTTGGGTCCTTTGAGTCAACTAAAACATGTTAAAGATGACTAAACTAGACGAGAGGTTTGAAAGTTCTGTGCATTTATAATGTTCCTTCTTGGTTGGACATGAGCTGCTCATATGACATAGTATTGTTCTGTCTTTTTAAAGGTGGTGTTATTGTTTGTCCAGGTTTTATCGCAGTGATGGGGAGAGTCCAGCCGAGTCCAGCTCTGAGCCCCTTTTCAGCATGAACAACAGTGGGAGTAGTCGCAGCCGAGGCTCCGAAAGACCAGGGTGAGTCACACAAACTGACCAAAATGAGTTCGATTGGTGATTGTAAGAGATCACCTGTGCATCTTTTATGCATTTATCACATTAAGAAGGTATTTTGATACTTCAAAATAATTATTTCTTAACAAAACATTCAGTTACTGTATGTTTAACTTTGAGCCAGTTTTGGTCCTAAGTTTTACAATCTGAGAAAAAATATGTTGTTTACATGAGCTAATGAGCTTTCAAATATGGTACAACATGGTTTAGTTACTTGTAATAACCTACCATCAATGTTGTAAGTTAAGTAGTAATTGAAAATTGTTTCAATGGCCTGTTATAATGGTCTGGCGGGCCAAATTTGTCCCATGGGCCTTGTGTTTGTGACACGTGTGCTCGTACCGGATGGGAGCCCCAGGTCCCTATTTTAGATTCAGATTCCGAAAACTTTATTGATCCCAAAGAAAAATTAATTTTCAGCAGAATCTCAGAGCAGAACACACACTCTACACAAACAGTTCACGCAGCAGCAGGTTACAATATAAGTTTAAAAGATACAATGAAATACACAACAATTTCAGTCAAAGGTCCCCACCAGAGTTCAACAGGTTTATTGCAGAGGTCACAAAACAAATGGAAAATTGTTTTGTTTTCCGAGTTAGAGCGTTAACACGTCACTCTAAAGGTATCCTGACAAAGCAACATTTGGGAGTCAGATTGTTTTTTTTACATTGTCACACACGATGCTATTTTAATTAGAACTGTACTTAGGTTTGATGCCTTCTTTCTCTTGGGAGATTTTTGTCAATTTGTGTCTTGCCACTAGGTTCATTTTCCCTTAGTTGAAACTGTCTGAAATGGCAACATTATTATTGGTCTGCCCCACAGTGGGAGGGTACCTTTTGCCCTTAATCAAAGGCCATCAAACTGGTCCTAGAAAGGGTCATTGTGTCTGCAGGTTTTACTTCTGACATGCACCCCAGACTCCACAAATTTCCTCATGATTTCTGGTTAAGACGACACTCACTTGAGGAAATAAATGGAGACTGGTGTGCTCTTTGACGCCGTATTATAAGCAGCGTTTATTTTTTTCCTGCTTCCTACAAACTATAACCAGATGTTATGTTTCTGAAACTCATATTTTAAACGCACTGCTGTTCCAGGCCGACACGCTCTGGCTGGAGACTGGACCGGGACATGGGTCTGATGAACGCCATTGGTCTACAGCCACGAAATCCCACCCCCTCGGTGACATCTCAGGGCACGCAGACGCCAATCATCCAGCTCCAGAATGCAGAGACGCAGACTGAGAGGGAGGCGGAGCCCAGCACCTCCCACGCAGCCATCAGTAAGAAACAACTGTGAATTCTGCAATTCAATTCAATTTATTCTTGTATAGCTAAATCACAACAGTAGTTATCTCAGAGAACATAAAAAAACCATTGAACTCGCCAACACATTTCAGAGAATCGAACCGTTAGAATAGGGAACACATAGTTATTGGTCCATAAGGGGGAGTTGATAAATGTCCATACAGTCAATGTTACAGAATGTTGAGTGTCCTGTATCATCACCACAGTCCTTTATGTTAGACTACTAACAGTCTAACAGAACCTCTGCATCAGCAAGGAAAAACTCAAAAATCCAGTGAAAAAAAGTGAGAAACCTCATGGAGAACCACACTGAGAGAGAGAGGAGTCCTCCCACAGACGGACGGGCTATAGATCCAGGACTCAAGCTACAGAACGAGGAGAAAGGCCACGAGGTGCAGGACTCTGGTTGTAGAACGAGGACAGAGGCACTGCAGGACTGAAGCAGCTCCCAGGCGGGGTGGAGGTGCAGCACACAAGTCGGGCCGGACAGGGCAGTCCGCAGGTGCAGATGGTGAGGGCGGGTTCAGATGTCCCATCATCGCGCCATGAATGACAATGGGACCACGGTTGAATAGCAATGAACGGACGATAGTCCAGATCTTAACGCAGACAGATTGGAAGGAGGAGAGGATAGTGCTCAAGTTACCATACTTCTCCCAGCAATCCGACTCCTAATGCTTTAGATTTCTAGTCCTCCCTGAACCTACCTTACCTACTTAACCCTTTAAGCGCCAAAGTCGCAATATTGCGACAAGCAACATTGCTCACTTAAACAGGCTGTATGTAAAAATGTGGTGCAGAATCTTGTTAATACTTTTCACCAGGGGTTAGTGGACATGTGTGCCTGTAACATGAGCAGCATTTGTGGGTGTGTTAATATTGAAAGTTTTTGAGTAAATTGAGTTCGTAAAACACCTGCGGCGCAGCGGTGCGGAGGCAAAGCAGCAGCGGCAGAGCTGAGAGGAGCGAGAGCAGAGCAGAGGGAAAGAGGGTTTTTTATTTTACTCACGAGGTCTTCAGTACCAGAGAAGTACTTGGTCTGGTACTGGCTCACTCAGATTCAGAGGAGGAAGACACGCAGGTGTCCAGTGAAGCAGACACGGACATTATTGGTGACGGGGAGACCGCGCTCCATAGTCCACAATCAGCCCCTGTACAGCGGCTGCTTGTCCTCCGTGTGGCCGCGGTAGAAGCATTCTGTGAACGCCAAGCAGGGGCTGGGGTCGACGGGACAGGGGGATCATAACACCGGGCATGTGGGAGAAAGTAGCGGGGGTAAACATCCACGGGGAACACGGGAGACGCGGGAGAAGTCGCGTGGGAGCCGCGGGAATAAAAACACATCGCTTTTTGCGTTCACTGCCTTTACCAACAGTGATGAGGATCAAGGCAGTTCTTGAGAGAAAATAATCCACAAAAGTGGATCAGAAGTGTTGAAGAGTCTGTTTCTTGTTGAGATGATCTGACATGTTCATGTTTTCTAAACCATAAATCCAGGAGCCTCATTTCCACCGAGAAAAATAGTAAGCCCACCACTTCTTTGAAAGGGAAATATTGTGAAACCAAACTCCAGATTTCATGACTGTAAACTATAAAGAGAGCTGTCTTGATCACTGAAGGTCTTTGAAAATAATACAATTCCGTATGGCCGCGAACCAGTGCTAAAACATTATCTATAATCTGGATCAGGGAATTTATTTCTATCCCAAATTCATTTCATACTAAAGATATTTCACACTGACTGTTTATAGTATTCCCTGATCTAAAAAAAACTCCCAAACTACAGCTTTTTGAAGTTTTTATACAATAATTAACATTTTCCAAAATGGCCGCCACCTTGATGACGTCACAATATGCAAATTAGATGACGAATCAACTTCCATCCCAAAGTTTGGTTCAAACTGAAGATATTTCTAATTTACAGTATGCCTTTATCTCAAACCATTTTAAAGTTATAGCCTTTTGAAATCTTGAAATCAAAATTGTATATTTTCTTGAAAAAACTCTGGCGCCTAAAGGGTTAAACATATGCTAAATTAAAGAAGACTGTTTTAAGCCTGGCCTTGAACGTAATGACTGGGTCTGATTCCTTAACTTGGATGGAAAGCTGATTCCACAGTAAAGGAGCTTGGTAGCTAAAAGCTCTGCTGCCGACAGTGGTTTTTGAGACTTTAGGAACCACCTGTGACGCTATGAGCGTCACAGGTGGTTGGTTGGTATGACACTTAATGTGTCTTGGAGGTAGGAGGGAGCCATGCTATCTATGGCTTTGTATGTTTAAATTTTATCCACAGGAAGCCAGTGATTTTCACACTGAAGTTTTGTGTTAGTTATGGGAAAATCCTTACTGCTATATTTTGAACGAGCTGAAAGCTCATGGGTTTGAGACCACCACAAGACCTTCTCCGACTCCCACTGATATCTGATAATCAGTTATTAAAATGAATGTATTGCCTCGTGTTAATTTCATCAGTTCAATGCTACCTTTAGCACCACCTCAAGGCTTCTTTAAAAAACTAAATTCGTTCATAAACAAATATTTATGGAACCAGAAAAACCCAAGGATTAAAGCTTCAACTTTATGTAGATTTAAATCATCAGTGGGTGTAGGCCTTCCAAATTTTGAGTGGTCGTCTTGGTGTTTTGTATTAAGACCCCTCATTTCATGGTTCAAAACCGATGAGTCGACAGCATGGATGCCTATTGGAGCAGAATTAATTATACCCTATGCTTTGCACAATATTTTACATTCCAAAATGCCTTTAAAAATAATTACAAATCGATATGGGCCCATTGTTGCAGACCTTGTGTCTGTTTGGAATAAGGTCAACAAATATATGGGCAAAGATAAAGAATCTTTCTTTCAAACACCAATATTCCACATTTACACTCTGATTGATAAGAAACCCATGCTTTCCCCTCGCATCGGAACGCAAAGGAGTTAAGAATTTAAGGGATATTATAGGACAGCATGGTTTAAAGACCTTATGACGGGTTTGATTTATTTAGAAATACAGTTTTAATACCATTTTATATTAGAAGAGAACTACTAAAGGTTTCAAAATCAGTTGTTTTTTTTGTCTGATCCCCCCAAATCGAAATAACCCCATAGCAACGCCCTTAGAAACGAAAAAACTTCACAGCCCTTGGTGACGTCAGAGTGGGTACGTTTCAACGCTGTAAGTTGTTTACAATTTGGTATTCGTTCTTTTTTCGCGGATATTCAAGATGACAAGGCCGTGTACAGCGAGTCTAGGATAACTACTAGAATGTATCATTTCGTTGTCACTGAGATAGTCCAGTGGTTGTGTCGATGGACTACCAATCCAGAGACTTGGGTTCAAATCTCATCTCGGACACTTTTTCACACTCAAAATGGCAATTTATGTGTAGTGAGCAATTGTCACCTGTAGAGTGCAGTATTGTGTTGGGCATCGGTGGAGAGAAGAGAGAAAAGGCATTCCTGTGGCATAGATCCATGGTTTTCAATGCATGGGCGTAACCCGCTATGACGTCACACACAGGTTAGAGCATAGACAACTTAAATTCATGAAAAACACGTTCTTTTTATAAAATATAGGATTTTTTTTGCCGGAATCTCTTTCAAATTGACATTGTCATGCAATTTTGATATCCACTATTTTTTTTTTAAAAACCCGTCATAAGGTCTTTAAGGGAGTTTTGTGACTTACAAAAGTGTTACAATTTACCTGGTTCGTCTTTCTTCTTTTACTTACAGTTGCGAACTGCTATGCGTTCTCATGGGGTCCCGTGGGGATGCATGCTAAAAAATCTTTCTTTCCACACCATCTTGGGCAAAGAAAGAACCACTGGCATCGTTTCGGACATGTACACATTATTAGTTTGTTCTTCAGAAAAAATATTTCCAATTGAACAGCTTTGGAAAACAGAACTGAGGGACCACTTAGATTGGGATTGGAATCACATTTGGTAAAATATTTAACTTTCATCCATAAATCCCAATCTCCAAATTATCCATTATAAAATCCTAGGAGACTACACCTAATGAAATTAAGACAATCAATACTGTGATTCGCCATTTAGGGCGACAGTGGCTCAGTTGGTAGAGCATTGGCCTCTGAGCCTGAAGGTCATGGGTTCGAACCTACCATAAGACCTACTTCACGACTCCCACTGACGACTGCTGCAGTTGTGTCCTTGGGTAAGACCCTTAACCCCACTTTACCTGAAGCCCCCACTGAAAGATCTCAGCTCCTGTGGACTCACCACCTGCAGGAGGATCAGTGAGGGGCTGGTGCTCTGTGTACTGGGTGCAGCTCTGACTGCCACCCCACCCGACCCAGAAATGGATTAAGGGGAAGAAAATGGATGGATGGATGGATGGAATACTGTGATTGCACGGGCAACACGGTGGCTGAGTGGATAGCACTCTCGCCTCTCAGCAAGAAGGTTCTGGGTTCGAATCCCCGGTTTCTGCCCATCACAAGGGAAAAGGAGATATGGGGAACAAAAAGGGGACAAAAAGTAAAGTGCTGCATGCCAACCAGTGCAAAAATGTAAATACAATGTAACACCTGAATCAAAACAAAAACAATGATCACAAAAAAGTCACTAAAATTATCATCAGTCATTGGTCCATAAAGAGATTTAACAAATGTCGTTAGAGGTTTTTGAGCTTCCACAATCACTAGTCTCATCTAATTGAAAAGCTTCATTTTGATAAAGTGGAAAAAATATGATATTTTTAATGATATACAATATAATTTTGTATTTAAGATTAAGAGATCCTTTATTTGTCCCACAGTGGGGAAATTTAGTAATATACATTTCCCTAATTTAAATTTTATTTAAATGGCAAAATGTTATTATTTTAATCTTCAATAGATATATATATAAATAAATAAATAATAAAAAATAAAATAAAATAAAAATAATAAAAAATAAAATAAAATAATATAAAAAAATATAAAATAAAATATAATATAAAATATATAATAAATAATAAATAAATAAAGCAATAAACCTGTAGTTTTGTACTTTTGTTAAGCGTTAGATTAGGAGCCAAAAGCCTTCATTTCTTTTTTTCTGACCAGGATTTTGTTACAGTATTGAATAGTTGTCTTTCTATTGAACACAATAGTTAGATACTTTTTTGATCCCTATAGGAGAAACTCAGGTGTCCTGTAGCCGCACCACACAAACAAAACAAATAAATTGATAATTCTAAGAAGCTAACAATAGTAATAGTAATAACAAGAAACAGCACTTCAGGTCACAGCAGCAGAGATGGTGGAGCAATACAGGTCAAATCAGCAGAGGTGGAGCCGCTTGGTTCGGACCATTTTCTCGGCTCTGGTCCAAAGTGGTTTTGTTAGCATTTTTCAAAAACTTAACCTTCCTCCAGCGGATTTTTGCCTGATCCCCTTGTTTCGGACCATGAATCCTTCTTGCTCTTGTCTGGACCGGTGTAAAATCATGAACACTGTACATTTCAAGAAGAAAGTATCATATGGGAGAAGTATCATATCAGCAGGCTCTGTAGTTTTTATTGTGATTTGAAAAACAAAACGGTTAAGCGTGATGAGTTTCTCAATTTTGTGATGGTGAGAAAACCCATTCTTCCGCGACATTTATGGACACTGGTCATCCCGTTTCCTAAGGACCAATGGCTTCTTTGTGTTTCTTGTGTTTGATCTGTTGTTGGCGAATCAACAATTTCATTAAGTCCTCCAAAACGACTATTCAAAAATGTATTAAATTTTATTAAAGAAGCTATACCCGATTTTTTTTCTAAGTAGTTCATAAAAATGCTTTTTACTACATACAAGTTGTATCATAATACATCATTTTATTGAAAACTTGAGGTAATTGATTCAGCTGTGTAAGAATTACAAGCAGTGAAAAGTGCTGAGTAGAGTCTGAGCGGGCCGCTCGTTCTCCTCCGCTCACAGAACGAGTAGCGAACAGCCTGCGTCCTCTAGCCCCTACAGCGCTGCTTAACACCAGGACTTCGACTTCAAAATTCGAATATAATTCTAAAATAAAAAATGATGAACAAAATAATTGAATAAAAAAATTTGAACAAATATTAGACAACCCTTGTAATTCGAAATGTATTTAATGACTGCAAATAAAATAGTTAGCTCCTAAAGGTTTCACCGGGACGTGCTAGGCAGGTAACAGCTAAGCTAGCTAGTTGTTTCATGGTAACTTCCGGGTTTTTCGCAATCGCTTTTTGTCACCTTGAAACAGTATTTTTGTCATGAAAACAGTAACAGCAAATTCTGAAATCATCCGTGCATGTGTGTTAAGGATGTATATGTGTACTGTATTGTCCGATTGACGTTTAATGGTGTTGATTGATAGATATGTAGTGACAGGCGCTGATAGCTTGTTGTATTTGCAGAGTAATGGCAGTATTTTACATACCTGAATTACAAACAGAGGTTGCATTGGGGCTTCGGTCATTATTGGTTTGAGAGTTCTGTTATCAAGAAAAAATAATCGGAAGAATTGCTGCTGCTGCTTTGAGGAGCTCTATAACAAATTATAATTAAATATTAGAATATATCTAAGGTTTTAAATTAATAAATTTGGATGCAAAACTAGCGGTATTCTTTTACTTATATATTGTGTTAGCAGTGCGTTGCTTTAGTGCCATTTCATCAGTGATTGTTGCACAGCTTACAAGAAGTTGCGCTAATGCTAATGTTAGCATATGTATCAGATCGCAAATAAAACTAGGTGGCTCTGTGTTATGAGAGCGTAGGGGAAATGAGAAGCCATTGAGCGAGTTGGGGGGCGGTGCTAAACATTCAAACATTGCAGAAACGGGTATAGCGCCTTTTAAATAAATATGATTCTTCCTTGTTTTTCAGATGTATCCACAGAAACCCCGTCCACCAGTGCTACTGCTGCTCCTCAGTTGTCTTCACTGGACCCTGGCCGTGAGGTGTCCGAGGGGAGCACCGCTACAACCGGATCAGGTACAGATACACCAGCTTCATTTGTGCCATAGAAATGAAAATATTTATATGTGTAAATGTTTGCTACAAGTACCTGGGTGTTCACGTAAACGGCAGACTGGACTGGAAGGAGAACTCCAATGCTGTGTACAAGAAAGGCATGAGCAGACTCTATTTCCTGAGGAAGCTCAGGTCTTTCTATGTGTGCAGTAAACTGCTGGAGATCTTCTACCAGTCTGTGGTGGCCAGCGCCCTTTTCTACGATGTGGTCTACGATGTGGTCTGCTGGGGGAGCAGCACCAGCAAAAGGGACCTCTCCCGGATTAATAAGCTGATCCGTAAGGCTGGACAGGTCATTGGCTGTCAGCTTGAGACATTTACAACAGTGAGAGACGGAAGGTCACTGGAAAAACTGCTCTCCATCATGGACAATCTCACACATCCACTCCACCGGACTATAGAGGGACAAAGGAGCTCCTTCTCAAACAGACTCCTACACCTCCGCTGCTACAGAGAGCGGTACAAGAGAAGATTCATGCCACACTCCATCCTGCTGTACAACAAGTCACATGTTTTATCTGTCACAGACGTCAATTTTATCTGCTTGGTCTTTGTATATATTGTATGCATGTGTATTATCTAGTTATCCACTATTTTAAACTGTAAATGTGTACATATTCACAGATATGTTTATTCCTGAGTGCCTATAGCAATATTATTCTATTCTCACAATAGTATCTTATTATTTTTATTATTCTTTTCTGGTTGTTTATTGTTATTTTCATTGTTATTTTTTTGTAGAATACTATGCAAGCTACTGTGACAATGCAATTTCCCTTGTGGATCAATAAAGTCTAAGTTTGAACCTCTGTTACACCCAGAATTTACTTTGTTCACGCCCCACCATTTAATAATGTCCTGGTGTGGTATAACTCATCTGTGACAGGATCAGACTTCTTTACAAACAAATCAAAACTCTCAAAATCACTGCCTTGAGTTGGGAAAAGGCAATAAATATAATTTCTTCATTCAGTTATATTATACTTTTTTTATACAGCAAATTAAAACAAATGGAAACACAGAACAACACAACACAGAAACACTTTCTTCCTACTTGAACCGACTCAATAGCTCGATAGCGACAGTAGCTCAGTTGGTAGAGCTGAAGAAGATGGCATGTCTGGGATTGTGTCTTACATTCAGACAGAAGACATGTTTTATTGTCGATGGTAGAGACAGCACGAACAACACAAACAACAGAATGCAAGTGTATTATACAGAGCGGAGGCATGGAGACCTCCAATCAGCAGCTTCCACGGTGTGCTTGTAGCTTGGCCTTCAGATAGACAAAACAAGGGAAAAGTACTGGCTTCTGCACATTGATAGAATGATGAGTTTAACTTTAACAAAAGTTTCTTCAAAGTGTTATGAAATCTCACATTCCCCCCTCTGGTCACACATTCCTGTGTGACCATCAGGATCGATAAACAGCAACATAACATCATAACTCAATACTTCAAAACTCATAAACTTGGTACTTCACTCGGTACTTCAAAAAACTCAGAACTCGGAAAACATTTTCAGATCTTTCATAAAACTTGTCAACAATCTTCAGTAAAATACCAAACTTCATCAGTCGATGGTTCCAGATATTGCTTTGAAAACAGTCTCTCCCACTTCTCCGTGTTGGTTTCTTCAGGCTGCATTTGTTGTGTCGAGCCATGAATTCTTCTGTGACGTGTCTTTCAATCACACGTTTCAGCTTCAGTGTCCAGATTCAGCAATTCAATTCAGTCCAAATTCAGAAATCCAGATTGTTCCCAATTGTCCATGCAAAAGAGGACGATGGTATTGTCCATGTCTCAGCAGCTCACAGCCCTGACTGGAATCAGGGGCTGTGCAGATTGTCCAAATGTGCTGATCCAGATGCATTCTCTTGAGGTTTCTCAGTTTTGGCTTAAAAAAAAAACACATTTTGTGTAAAAAAAAAAAAGTCTTCTGTTCACTAGATGTTACAGACAAGGCCCGCATCCTTCCACCACCTGAAGAAGATGTGCCAAGTCTGGGATCGTGTCATAAATTCCGACAGAAGACATGTTTTATTGTCGATGGTAGAGACAGCACGAACAAAACACACGATCACAGATACAATAGAATGCAAGTGTATTATACAGAGCGGAGGCATGGAGTCCTCCAATCAGCAGCTGCCACGGTGCCATGTAGCTTGGCCTTCAGATAGACAAAACAAGGGAAAAGTACTGGCTTCTGCACATTGATAGAATGATGAGTTTAACTTTAACAAAAGTTGCTTAAAAGTGTTATGAAATCTCACAGAGCATTGGCCTTTGGGCCCGAAGGTCGTGGGTTCGAGCCCACCACGGGACCTTCTCCACCGACTCCCACTGATGCCTGCTGTCGTTGTGTCCTTGGGCAAGACACTTAACCCAATAAGGAGCGCGGATATGATGTTCGCTGCATGCCTTGATGTGTATGTGTATATATGTATGTACTATATGTGTTTGCATCAAACTGAAAATTTCCCCATTGTGGGACGAATAAAGGACCTCCTTAAAAAAGACTCCCCCCCCCCCAACCCCCCATATAATTTGAATATAATTGTATTTATATGTATATAGAAATAAAAAGTAACGAGTGGGCCTTGAACGTGCCGTGGCTAGCTACATGAGCGCTCCGTAAATGATTCAAGGCAATGGGACGTAGCCAAGTTAGCGATGGTAACACGGAGGTGAAAGTTTCTGAAAAGTGCACGGAGCTTTTGAAAAGGAGAAGAGGACAAGGAAAATGTAATCCTGAACGGAGCAATAACAGCCAGCAGCCCGCGGACCGGTAAACTGGGCGCGTTATCAGAGGAAAGGTAGGACATAATTAACGTTTACCAAACGCAATGCTTTTTTATTTAACGGAATGTACAATATGTACTTTGCTGTGACTGGAATGGGACAAGCATGTCTTGGTGAGCTTTTGATAATATCTTGGTGGCGATCCCCATGCAAAACTGCGTGATAAAAAGAGCCAATCAACGAGAGCGAACGGAAGAAACTCGCTGAAGAAAGGTGTGTGTTAGCAGGTCTTATATTCATTCATCAAAGCTAGCCTAGCATGCACGCACAATCACAATCATGGATCGTTGTTTATGGAAGAAGGAGCTGTATAAGTTGCTGTTGATAACGGAGTGAAAAATAAATGGAGGTGGGCATGGCTGGATGAGGTGGAGACGATGGGATTCTGTTGCTTCATGGTGCAAAAAGATGAAGGTGTCCGGTGCTTGTTCGTACTTCGCTATTATTATTTTTTTTTATATGGGAGTAATGAGAAAACAGCTTTGGATTCACCACCAGCTCAAAACTGCGCACTTGGCAGCTGTCCGTGCACTTTCCCACACTTCTTTACCTGGTGCATCAATTCAGCGACAACTGAGACTAGCTTGCTCTGGTGGACTGTGTCTGTGACCTAAAACTATCTGTGGCTTTATCGCAGAAAATAACCTGTCGTTCAGAACCATCACTACCGCTGGTAGATTTAATTATCATTAATCTGCAGTTGATCAAACTGTGCTGTGCACTAGCACCAAGTTGATAGGGAAACCTTTTTCTTAAACATTGAGTGTCCACAAACAAATGTGGACATAATTTTGAATTCCTTTTGCGATATTTTGACGATGACAGAGCCAAAGGACAACGCCTCATCTCGCCTCAAGGTAAAGCCAATGATGCAGATGAACTACTCTCACTATATTCTGTCAGAGTTTGACAAGTTTGCTTGATCCACTGGTTGTAATTTCACATCAAAATACACCAGTTTTAAATGTATATCTTTGAAGAATTCGTTTGATCTGTAATTCATTATATTCCCATGAGAAAATTTTCAGTCAAATCTTTTTTTTTTTGCTTTAACCCCTGGATGATGTATTTATTGCCAACAACTGATGTTTATAATAAACATCAGTTGTTGGCATTAAAATAGATATAAATTATATGTATGAGCGTATAAAGGCGCTTATAAAAAACGCTTATTAGTGATCATTCTATGATCATATAGATGGTTCAGGCTCAGGAATTTTTTCAACTTTAACCCATGGACCTAGCATAATTTGGCATATTTATTTTTGCAGTAGTTTTTGGGGGGAATTTATCCTGTAGAAAGATATAGACAAATATATCAAGATTTTTATATTTTTTTCTCCATATCGCCCAGCCCTAGTTGGTAGTTGATAATGCTGTTTCATCCACAGTTGAACCTGACAAAATCTCACACAACAAACAGACAAAGGTAATATTTTACTTGTTACATTGTCACAAGGAGAGACAGGGCACAAAGCTCAGCCTCTCCCATGACCAGATCTGAAGATTCACAGTCTGCAAGCCCCTTTTGGTAGAACAAGACACACCTTTGTATGCAGAATAGGAAAGGAAGAAACCAACACAACAAAAGACAGTGAGACATGGCCTTCCACATTTGCATCCTCAAAGCCTGCTTCATCTGTTGTTTAAATATGCAAAATCAGCCCAGACAGACTGTAGTCTTCTCGCCAAGGTGAATTACAATACAGACAATATAATTTAGCATTCAGCATAAAATCTAGCCACACATGATTTACCAAAATGATAACTAAAGTTACCATATGGGAGAAACATTACGTACATACTCGCTCAAAGTTGTTTCTAGTTTTCTTTTACTGTATACACAAACATTGGTTGAAGTAGGTCCCTCTTAAAATTGCAGAAATACTCAACTATGGGATGAATATAGTGTTGTAGAAAGTGAAAATTACATGATTTGGTCATTTTAAAGCTTTTCATTGATTGTTTATCAACTATTAACACGGCATTGAAGCACGATCTATAGATCCATGATGCTAAACATGGTGCGGTTATAGACTGTTGCGGTTGTTTTGTTTTTTTGCATTTCCCAGAATGTTTTGCGGTTCATGCTTGGCCGTGATAGGTCAAGAAGCCTCTGCCTACGTCCCCCAGAATGCGTAGGCAGAGCTTATGACTCGGCTTTACTTCCTGTGTTTTCGTCCTGATTTTTCTAACGAAGTGAAGTTAAACTATCGAACATTCGATCGACCCCATTTTCTATTGATATCGAACACATGTTTGTCACGATACAAATAATATTTTTTGAAAATAGTCCAGGGTTTTCCAGCTGAATTAGACTAATTATGATGCTCTGAGTCCGAAAATGATCTTGGTTTTGCTCAATCAGGTCAGGATTTTTTGCTACAGATTTTTTATTTTTTTTATCGATTTTGCGTAAAAAACACATTTTTGCGCATCATCAGCAGAGAAACCCTTGACGTTTTTTCCGTTTTCCTCAAGAAATAAAAGTCAACGTATCCAAAGTCATTCAGTTTTTATTTACTCCATCAAATTTGATAAGCAGAATTCATAATATTAGTAAAAACAATGAGCGTTACGTGACACAAAATTTTAGAGTTCACGGCATAAATCGGCGTTTCTTCGATTCCAGTGTGTGAGCAGCTGCTGGGTTGTCTCTCTTCAGCGACCAGCAGTAGTCCGCCATCAAGACTGCGTCCCACCTTCCCTGGTACTTCTCCTCCATTTGGCGCATTTCCTGATGGAACCTTTCTCCCTGCTCGCCGCTCATCACCCCAAAGTTTTCAGGAAACTTCTCCATGTTTGAGAACAGGAAGTGAACCTTTATACTCATCAAACACCCGAGTTTTTGGAAGGCCTTTATCATCTTGCTGACGAGTATGGCGTGGTTTGCTGCCTTCGTGTTCCCCAGGAAGTTGTTCACCACCTGCACAAATGATGTCCACGCAGCACACTCTAGCCTGTTCATGGAGTTTTGGAACTCTGTATCCTTTATGAGCTGCCGTATCTGTGGGCCATCGAAAATGCCGGCTTTCAGCTTCTCAATGGTCAGTCGAGGAAAGGCTTTAAGTCGACGCAGATGATCCATTGGTGCTGCTCATATTGGATTTTGTCGAGCACGTACTTCACTGCTTCATATTTCTCTTTGAGACTTGTGGAGTGCGCAAGAGGGATTGAGGCGAACTGGTTCCCGTTGTGGAGGAGCACAGACTTCAAAGAGCGCTTGTTGCTGTCAATGAAGAGTCGCCAATCTCTCGGATCGTATTGAGGAGCGCCGAGTTTACCAAGAATACCGGCGACATCTCGGCAGTACACGAGGTCTTCCTCCTGGCAGAAGTAGCCCATGTAGTCCTCATGCCTTCTACGAAAGAAAGTGATACGCGCGTCCTCGCCAAGTAGATTTTTCTCTTTGAGTCTGGAGGCCAACAGCTCGGAGGAAGTCTTTGACAACTGAGATCCCGAACCAGATCATTAAGCTCACATTGTGAAAAGGGCTGCGGACCATCTTGTTCCTTATACTCCTCTTCTGCATATCCTCCCTCGTCTGCACTGGTGGCCACGCCGTCGCTGTCGGGAAGCTCTGTGAACGCTGGTACAGATGGAAGGTCGGGGTACTGGAGGCTGTGCCGAGTCTTCCGGTTGATGCCAGTAGTATTGATGGCGCAGAAGTAACAATCCGATGCATGGTCTCGCGGCTCCCTCCAAACCATCAGAATCCCAAACTTCAGTGAAGTTTTTGTGCCCTTCGTCCACCGCCGGAGGTTTTTCATGCACGTCTTGCACAGTGTGCGGTGCCCAGGATTTATCTTGGTCACCCAGCTTGACTTTAAAGTAGGCCTCATAGGCGTGCTTTACAAATCCTGTGATATTCTTCCTGTCCACTGACAGCGTGTAATCTCCGCAGATGTAAAAGAAAACATCAGGATCATTCCTGCATGACCGTCGCGCCAAAGCCATATCAATCAACTGAATCAATTTGTTTGGCTCGTCAGGTAGGCCTTATGCAAGACATTTGTTGCTATGGGGATGATTCTTTTTTTTAGTATGGTCTGCTTTTGACTTGTTGCGTTACGTCAGGGAGAGGTGAGGAAGTGCGTGTCTCCAGCATGACACGCATTTGTTTAATTGTAGATTGGCGCGCTTTGTTATATTGTTAGCATGTCGCAGCGCGACTTTAGTGATTGGGTGCCCTCTTTAAGTTATTATTCCCGGGTGTCTGGACAGGGAGGCTATAAATAGGGAGTATCTTTTTGTGTAGCAAATTTGTTTTTTTGTTTAATTTGTACCCTCTATGATTTAACTGGATTAAGTTTGTTTATAATCAAATATCTCCTCGTCGCTACAGATTTGTTATTGAAACTCTCGCACACACGAAAAATGTAGACGTACGTAATCCGTAACACTATGGCTGTATCTCAAAAAGTTGACCTGATAGAGCAAAATGCATGTGATATTCGGACTCAGAACACCAAAATTAGTCTAAATCAGTTGAGAAACCCCTGACCATTTTTTGGCTGTCAACTTATAGTTTTATCGCCCTGCCCTACTTCTACTCTAGCCTGGCTCTGCCAGACCCTTGTAGTTCCGCAATGCTCCACCAGAGGCGTTTGGCTGAACCACATGGGTCTGGTATCGACGCCATAGCGAACGCCTTCCCCAGATTATTTTTTAATCCACCAATCAGGATTGCCAGTGTTACGTGGGGTTTGTACTGCCTTCTCAAGCTTCTCTCATGCAGCAGCGAGAGGAATCCAAGATGGCGGACGTAAAGTCCGCGAATCTTTTTAAAAGAGTAAATACGATCCAATTAAGACAGGGATGTCACTTTTAATGCAATTTGAGGCGAGATGTTGATGGTTCTATGTTGATATATGTGTGTTTTAAGAGTCAAATGTTCCTGTAAAGTTTGGTTGAAGCACTGGTTCGGTGTTCCTGTTTACACACTATGCAGCAGGGTTGCCAGGTTTGGTGGTTCCCGCATATTTTTTTCCAAGAGACTTGTAGGTATTAAATAAACAGAAAGACAATAAACAGAATCATGATAGCCCAAGTTGATTACATTACGTTTTTAGCCAAAAAATCATTCTGAGTGGTTTTTATGGTGTGGGTATTCTCGCGGATTTTGGGTTGGAAAATATTGCTGGGATTTGGCAACCTATGGGAGCCGTGTGCTTCGATGTGAGTGGTTGAAAGCAGACTTCATTCAAGATAACGGACAAGTGGTCTATCCAATCACATACAAGGATTTTTTTTACAAGGCCCTGCCTTCTGAAATCCAGCCACTATGGCTCAGTACCAGACTCATGTGTGAAGTGCAGCGAACTACATGGGTCTGGCGAGAGTCAGGCTACTTCTACTCAGCCAATGTTCAAATCAGTTTTATTTAGCTGTGCATACACCTGAAGGAAGTTTTTTAATGTACTGTGATGTTTCTTTTCTTTTTTTGTTAAGCACTAACCTTGTGTATGAACCATTTTCATACATACCCCCCGAGTTTGACACCCCTGTTATAACACGTTTATCTGACCATTGATCATCTTTTTCATTCATGACCACAACTTGGTTTATTTGACCCTCAGGTTTGTGAAGTTGTGTTGTTATGGTTTTGACCTGTGCAGACATAACTTTGACTTGTCTACTTCCAGGAGAGTTGTCAGACCTGGTTTCGGGGGAGGACGCTCTAGCACGCATCCGTCGTCTCATCGCGGAAGGCGGGATGACGGCGGTTGTGCAGCGTGAGCAGAGCACTACCATGGCCTCGATGGGCGGCTTCGGCAACAACATCATTGTGAGCCATCGCATCCACCGTGGCTCCCAGACTGCTACGGGACAGGCCCCTTCCTCCACCGGCCCAGTGCTCTCTTCTGCACAGGGAACTTCGCATTCGACTTCACCCTCAGCGCTCTCGTCTCCTCAAATTTCTCAGTTTCAAGCAGGGCCTAGCCATTCTAACAATTCGCCTGCGCATCACCAAGCAAGCTCCTCGCATTGTCAAGCTGGTCCCTCTCATTCTACAGCAGGCGCATCACATTTTTCCCCTTCCCAATCCACGCCAGGCTCCTCCCACTCTCAGATTTCCCCCACGCATCGCCAAGTAGGCTTCACCCACTCTTACACGTCACCTGCATCCCCTGCCCGCCACCATGTCACATCTGCGCATTGCCAAGCGGGGCCCTCTCATGCCTCCACGTCCAACCACAGCTTCCCCGCTCCCTCCTACCACCATGCCCCTCCTTCATCCACGCAAAGCCGCTTTAGCGCGCGCCACACCCCCTCCACCTCTGGAAGCCCTTCCCCTTCCTGCTCCAACTCTGCCCCATCGGCTTCCATGGCAGTGTCCACGGTTTACTCAACGTCGTCTTCGTCTTCAGCGTTGCCGTTTGCCTACACGCAGCCGGAGTCGGCACGCACCACCGGAGATGCGTTTGAGAGGGCCGCAGCATCTTCATCAAACTCCTCACCCTCCCCCCAAAGTCCTAACATTGGTCCGAACTCGTATCAAGGAGATCCGTACAGTAGGTAGGCAACTTCAGAAAAAAAAAGACTGAGATGGCAATGGAAAACTTATAAAACGCCTTACTCTCCAGGGTTCCTACACATACACACAAGTGAGCGCTTGATTTGAGCAATTTAAAAGTTAAAAAAACAAAACAATTATGAATCGAAGTTTTTGGATATTTTTTGTTTCACATTTTTTGGGAGTTTTTTGGGCTTGCGACAAAGTAGCATAGTTGGACCTCATTTATAAGGCTTGAAAAAAGTGCTTCATTAACTAGAAACCTGGAAAACTGGAAATACGTATTCTCATCTCTATTTTAGTAGTGTTGCTCTACTCTGGTATAAAAGTTAGTCTCATCCAACACTGTCCATATAAAACCCTTTTTGTTATTTTCTCTAAAGGCCTTTTTTCACGATAATTACAATTCTAGCAGTCTATTCCCAAAGTCTTCCACATCCAAGCCTCCCTCATTAATCAGAAAATTCTCTCTCGGCCCCCCAGTACAATTTCTTTTGAAATATAATTTCAATTAACACAAAAATTTGACAAAGCCAATGTAATACAATTTGAAAATCCCAGCACTAAGCAACAACATAGAGAAGTGACCTGCCGCGCCTTCAAAAGCTTCTGTATGTGAATATTTATTTTTCCTTGTATTGTGTAACTTCATCACTAATCATGTGAAAATGATCCAGTTTGTGAACCACTGCTCAAGGTGTGTGATTAAATATCTGCTTTTGTAATGTCTGGTTGTAAAATATCATGTCCTCTTCAGCATTTTTTATTTATATTTTTATTGTTTGAAGATGTGCCAACAAAATAAACCATTACATCATCTGTCCACAATTTATTTAAGCCATGCGGTTTTTACTGCAATTTGATAATTGAAAAAACTGTTACAACAATGGCCATTTCTTATGATCTACATGTATACCCAACACGTTTATTTGGAAAAGATTGTTTTAACTCAGAGCAGTGGTTCAAAAACTTCAAATGGGTATTTTTAATCTTGAAATATAAAAAAAAATGTAAACACAATAATAGAAAGGCATAAACCAGATTTGAAAGATCCTGGCCTACAACTCTCACAGAGAGTTGCTAAGCCAAGAATAAGGAATACGTCAAAATAATTTAAAAACTAAAACTTAGAGCCTGTACCTAATTTTTTGCATTTGCTCAAAACATGTTCGGTTCCAGGACCATTACCCTGACTGCGTCGGGTTATATTTTTATGATAAAGTTAATCTAATGCATTATTTGAGATGTAAACTGGTAGTGTAAATGTTAATTAACAGTTGCAGATGTGGCTTTCACTGGCAAATGCCGCTTTAGTATGCATGTGTGGTAGTTTCTTAATAATGTTGATCGGGGACGATGTACAATATGCATTTTTGTCTGATAGAATTTTTAATGCACAAGGTTTTATATTTTTCTTTAAATCCACTTGTAGTTTTAGAGGGTCCAGTCCAATCACAAGATGGTGTGTTTGGACTACAATATGTTATTAGCATACAATACTATTACATTGCATTATACATAGAATTTCACTATTTGGTTTTGTGTATGTTAAGTCTTTGGGAAAGGTACAGTACAGACCCAAAGTTTGGACACACCTTCTCATTCAAAGAGTTCTTTTTATTTTCATGACTATGAAATTGTAGATTCCCACTGAAGGCATCAAAATATTAATTAACACATGTGGAATTATGCACATACTTAAAAAAGAAAGTATGAAACAACTGAAAATTACTTTTATTCTCTGTTCTTCAAAGTTGCACCTTTTTCTCTGATTACTGCTTTGCACACTCTCTTCAAGAGGTAGTGACCTTCCAACAGTCTTGAAGGAGTTCCCAGAGATGCTTAGCTGTTGGCTCCTTCACTCTGTGGTCCAGCTCATCCCAAAACCATCTGGATTGGGTTCAGGTCCGGTGACTGGAGGCCAGGTCATCTGGCCCAGCACCCACCACTCTCCTTATTGGTCCAACAGCCCAGCCTGGGTGTGAATCTACAGTCAATAGTCATGAAAAGAAAGGAAACTCATTGAATGAGAAAGTGTGTGGTCTGTACTGTATGCTAATAGGACCTTGGCACAAAAAGGGTTAGCGAGGGGAAATGACAGTTGGGATATTTTTTTTTTTTTCTTCAGACAAGGGATTTGAAAAGTTATATTACTTTCTAAGTAATCATTTTGTTTAGTTTTTTTTTTTTTTCGCTTTTGAGACAAAAAATTGGGTACAGGCTTTTGGTGTGTACATGCTTTATATATATATATTATATAAAAAATATATTTTTTTAAAGGGGAATATTTTCATTGTTGCTGGTAAAAATCCAACTTGCTTCTGTTGAACCTTTTGTGGATCATGGGCAAACATTTTTTTAGAAAAAAAATAAAACAAAAAAACATGGAATTTGTGTAGGAACCCTGTCGCTCATTGAAACGGTGCTGCTTGGAATCGACGGGACACGATATACCAAGAACATTACTACTACTAATACTACTACTACTACTACTATTACCCCTACTTTGCATTTAAAGAGATTTTATTAAAATAAACTTAAAGAACACTTGCCCTTGTGCTCCTTATGTGGCATTTTTGTGCACTTACAACAACAGAAACTGGCTTGATCATTCCACAGTTGAGGAAACAGAAGAAAGGGCTTGTACTTGAAAAGCTTATCAAGATCTCGGGAGGAGGGATTTGGCCAAAAAAACTTGGAAAAACTTCAATATCAAAAAGTGCCATCGTTAACAGGCGGGACAAACAACAACATGTACAAACAACGCAAGTGGTAAAGACTTTTTACTCCAAATTAACGTGCTGCATTGGTGCCATGTGATTTGTGTGTGATTGAAGTGTTGAAATTGTGAAAAATCTGCAAGTCTTTTTTTGGGGGGGGGTTTACTATGTGGTAAAATTATGGAACTGAAGCATAACTTTTGAAAAATGATGCTGATCAATGTAGACTGGGTGGAGTTGAAGGGCACTCTGAGCTAATGTTGGTTTTGTGGTAAAATCCAACTTCATATGAGACGTCTGCTAAATTAGGAGGCAGCTACGTTTCCTTTTGACCCGCTTTTGTGACCACCATGACTTGCACAGTGTTTAAAATTACTTTTTTCAGCCATTTTCTTTTCTGAATAAGTGATACAAGGACAATTTGGCGGCCTTGGGCAGCTGTGTTTGCAGATTGCTAACTTGACCTGAGAAGAGCCTTTGGCAGAGGTGACAAAAGTATTAGTAGGCCTGTCATATAAATGTTTCTGATGGACTTTAATATAATGCTTCAGAAAATGATTGCTCTAAACGATAATATTGAAACAACTTTATGCCAGAGATGCTAGCACAACACAGCAAAAATAATCCTAGTTAATGTCCATTTCATTAGAAAGAATGGACCAACTTTTGGAGAAAGTAAAAGATAATCACTTTTGCAATAAAAATTTACAGCTGCTAAATACAAGTCAATATAATTTTCGGGCCAGGCCTAACTGCAAATCATAGATATTATTAACAAAATCGACTGATAAAAGTATTGGAATTATTCCCTTGGACGCCAACATACCCTGTTCCATTTCCCTACATTGTCTGTATATCGAGTAAAAATACTTGTTACTTGTATCATCTTTGGTCATTGTGTCCATTTTCATCATTGCTTGAAGCAATTGTTGTGGCTTCTGTTGTCTTTGCCATTTCATCTGTACTAAATCATTTCCGGAATTATCTCTATAAAGCAGACAGACCGTTATACGGTCAAATTATTGTTTATGCGCTGCTAGAAACACGGCTGCAGGAAGTTCTATTCTTTACTTTGGGGAACACTGGACTCGAATGACTCAATGTAACAGATGGTTATATCACCTTCTCAAACCAGAGCGTCCCTTCACTCCACACAAGTCATCTTTGTACCATGGCCTGAGTTTGAAGCTGTGCTGAAATCCCAATCAAATCCATAGACTGAACAATTTACACTGCATGTTCTTGGTACAAAGATACTGCAGCCTGAAAAACACCAATAGTCTATTCCTTAAGCTGATTAAGACCTTTTTACACATACACATCTGGTTGCACTATCTGTTTTTTTGTGAAAACGCTGACATTACTATTGTTATGTTGTGTTGTCTTCTGAAACTGAAATGTGAGAGGAACTGTTCAACTCTGACGCATATCAAAATTTCTTCCAAAATTTCCTTTTGATTTACCAACACATTTTCCATGGGTATATTTCGTTCATATTGATTGATCTAATTGTGTTTTCATGCTAGTTAAAGCCTGTATTAATTCACTCACTAATTAAGTCATTAGATTTTTACGTAATCTAGTTCCTATAGAAGTAGCCACTTAGAGCTAGCTCAAACTGGCTTCATGGCTGAGAATCTCTAGCCAAATTCTCAGATAGCAATTGCTTAGCTACCATAGAGCCAATGACGAGCTTGTGCTACTTATACATCTATATACAGTCATTCCCCAAACCTTTCGCCACATTTCAGGCTTCAAACATAAATATATAAATTGTAATTTTTTTGGTCAAGAATCAACAAGTGGGAAACAATTGTGGAACAAAATGTATTGGATAAGTTGATTTTATTTTATTTTATTTATTTTTTTACTGAAAAGTGGGGCATGGAATATTATTCGCCCCCCTCGTGTTAATACTTTGTAGCGCCACCTTTTTTCTGAAATTAAAGCTACAAGTGGCTTGGGGTATGTCTCTCAGTTTTGTACATCAAGAGGCTGAACTTCTTTCCCATTCTTCCTTGCAAAACAGCTCGAGGTTGGATGGAGAGCATTTTTGAATGGCAATCTTCAGCTCTTTCCACAAATTCTGGATTGGATTCAGATCTGGACTTTGACTTGGCCATTCTTACACCTGGATATTTGTGAACCATTCCATTGTAGATTTGGCTTTATGTTTTGGATCATTGTCCTGTTGGAAGATAAATCTCCGTCCCAGTCTCAGGTCTTTTGCAGACTCCAATAGGTTTTCTTCCAGAATGGTCCTGTATTTGGCTCCAACCATCTTCCCATCAATTTTAGCCATCTTCCTTGTCCCTGCTGAAGAAAAGCAGGCCCAAACCATGATGCTGCCACCACCATGTTTGAGCTGTGAGCTGTGTTGCTTTTACGCCAAACATATTGTTTTGCATTGTGGCCAAAAAGTTTGATTTTGGTTTAATCTGACCACACCACCTTCTTCCACATGTTTGGCGTGTCTCCATGGTGGCTTTTTATGGATATCTTTGAGAAATGGCTTTCTTCTTTACACTCTTCCATATTTTTCCAGATTTGTGCAGTGCACGACTGATTGTTGTCCTATGGACAGACTCTCCCACCTCAGCTGTAGATCGCTACAGTTCATCCAGAGTGATCATGGGCCTCTGGCTGCATCTATGATGAGTCTTCTCCTTTTTCGAGATGAAAGTTTGGAGGGACGGCCGGGTCTTGGTAGATTTGCAGTGGTCTGATACTCCTTCCATTTCAATATATTTGCTTGCACAGTGCTCCTTGAGATGTTTAAAGCTTGGGAAACCTTTTTGTATCCAAATCCGGCTTTAAACTTCTCCACAACAGTATCTCGGACCTGCCTGGTGTGTTCCTTTGTCTTCATGGTTCTCTCTGCGCTTTAAACAGAACCCTGAGACTATCAAAGAGCAGGTGCATTTATACGGAGACTTGATTACACACAGGTGCATTCTATTTATCATCATCAGTCATTTAGGACAACATTGGATCATTCAAAGATCCTCACTGAACTTTTTGCTGCACCGAAAGTAAAGGGGCCAAATAATATTGCACACACCACTTTTCAATTTATTTGTTAAAACGGTTTAACTTATCCAATAAATGTTGTTCCACTTCATGATTGTATTCCACTTGTTGATTCTTGACAAAAAACACATTATATATAATTGTGTTTGAAGCCTGAAATGTGGCAAAAGCTAGAAGGGTTCAAGGGAGCCGAATACTTTTGCAAAGGCACTGTAGGTGAGCGGTAAATCCAGAGCTCGGACTGCAGACATTGCTCCCTCTTTACCACAACAGTCCGATACGGCGACTGCATCATCCTCTATACTTCCCTCACTGTGAACAAGACCTGAGATACTTGAAGTGGACATTTATTTGTGGAAATATCTCAAAATTGGAGGGAAATTCATATTAATATTAAAAATTATAATAATACATTGATTTTATATAACGCTTTTTCAAGCAATTACAACATATTTTCATTGCACGCCATATACATTTCAATCCAAACTTCTAAAAAGGCAGCTTGCTTGTCCATCATACACCTTTTATTTTTACTGAAAAGTTGGACATTTTGTCTCAGGTTTGAACAGTTTTGCAACAAATGTTACCATTTTATATTCAGTTTGTGATTATTTTTCCCCACGTTTTGTTTATCTTCTTCCCAAAACGGACAGAAAGAAACTTGAATTTTTGCTCAATTTTTCTTTTGCGTGACGGGATTGTACAGTTGATTTTGTTTTGTTTTTTGGGGGGTTTTTTGGCTGCTTTTTTGTGTGCTTGAGTGAATTGTTATCTATGGACCTATTTACTATTTACTAGTGGATATAACTATTTACTAGTGGATATCACTATTTACTAGTGGATATCACTATTTACTAGTGGATATGAAACTTATGATAAAACAAGGGTTGGGTTTGGACAAAATGGACAATTGACAAATTTCAAATGAATATTCTTGTATCATAAACTTTTCAAACCGTGAAAGTTGGAAAAAACGGCAACTTGTTTGTTTTGGGCTCATTCAAAAAGATTTAAGATTTGGCAAGCTTTGTTAGGTTTTTTTTCCTGCATAAAGTTATCCTCAAACATGCCGTGGTCTTTCTCTTCTCTCTTTGACTTCAGAATTTTGAGGAGGGAGACACGTGTTCCTATCTTCCCCTGAAAATTGTACATGGGTCCAAACAACAACACACTGAGCTTTCACACAAGTGTCCCATGTCGACACACTTTTTGATCCTGGGCTTAAATACTGAGGCTTTTGTACATTTTATACTCTAATCTACATGGCACTACACTATCAGGCCAAGTAGAGTAGTTCTTCCTGACAGCAAATCGGTCCGCATCAAAGTTGTCTTAATTAGTTTTCTTCCACTGTCTCCAAATCCAACCTGTTTTCTCTGGGAATTTTGACTGCAGCCGCTGAACTGAATGCTCCTGGCTTTACTTGATCAACATTTTACAACAAGGAAAACTCAAATAAATTATAATTTTTAGACAGAATCGTCTTTTCTCTCTTAAATTAAGACAAAAATCCAAGTTACAAATGCGAGTCCTTTTCCTACTTGTACAGCCCCTCTTGAGTTTTATATGTGAGGTTTTTGAGGTGAAGGTAAAGCAGGTCAGGCCTTGATGTCCCGGTAATGAAAATGTATGGAAGAAAAAATCACGTCTTTAACCCATTTATTCTCTTATTGCTTTTATTAGCAACTGGCAATGTACAAAGTGGCTCAGGTTGTCATTAGAAGAGTAGGTAATAAATTATCTGGATGAACCTGATGGAACGTGTCCTGTCTGTTTTGTATCAATTTATTGTGTGGCCAAGAATGTATTTTTTTTTTTGTGGCTTTATAATAGAAAAGGCGTTTTCAAAATCATGTATTTCCTTATATCAACTAATATAAGGAAATACATTTGGAATTTAGAGACATATTATGCAAAATTGTTTTTGTGCTTTTCACCTTGCAACAACTCATCAGTCACTGACCTGGAGTTTTTAAATCCATCCGCTAATATCATGAAACTCAATCACACAGTGACAGAGAGAATCAAACGGTTCTAATACAGGTTGACTCGCTGTTAAACACACGCACGCTTTTGAAGAAAAAAGGCTCTTTGCTTTCCACAGTGGTGCGCGTAGGGTGCCTGTGGTAGAAGCCTGGAGCATACACAAACGTGGCTTATGGCCAGGTGCTTGTCAGCCCACAATATGACCCATGCATATTTTTGCTGCACAGTAATGCGTTTTTCAATCATAATACATACTCATGTTAATCACACAATAAAAAAGGACGCTATTTAAATAGGCTTGTGTTAACAGATTAGACTTGTTAATTCATTCTATTAATTTAGATTTTTTTATTGAAAGACCCCAACAAAGTGACAATTGTGAACACTATTTTTTATATAATTTTGTTATTTGAAAAAAAAAATCCAACTGAGAATGGAAAGTCTTTCAAAGTGACTGTAACAGATGTCTCCTGGAGTCCTGACCCATCAGAAAGTTTCATAGTGCAGTTTAACTCTTAGTATCATCTATCTCTTAAGCACAGGTTGTTCCAGTGGGAGGGAGGTCCTTCACTGATCTAATAACTGCCTAATGTAATGTAGCAACCTCAGCCGCTGCATCTGATTGGACGAGAGGGAAGAGGAGACTGGTGATTTTGCTGATATAAGAAGAATCCACAGGAGACAAGAATAAACGGGATTTGAGCAGGAGGCATGGACCCCAACTGGGACCAGCGGTGAGGAACTTTACATTACACCAACTCTAACTTTAACCCCATATTACTTTATATCATCTTTAACTCTGACTTTACTGTCACGGACTAGAGACCAGAGATGATGATCACACCTATGGATCTTTTTGTGCATTTATGTAAAAAAAAAAAAGAAGTCTGTAGAAGTCAGTACTTTCCTACTTGATGTTTTGGTCTGAAGGTCGATTGATAGATTTTTGCCTTGGTATAAAACCATGTGAAAGCTGGGAAACTCTGTTGGACTGCTCCATCTTTTGTCATTTTCTTCAGTTGGTGGAGAAAGTGGTCAGGTCTGAACAGCTATAGTAGGGAAGATTTTTTTTCCGTGTCTCAGCAAAAGACATTGATTTTTTTCACAGCATAAATGACACAACCAGAGTTAAACAGCATTCACATGCTTCTATACCAAGAAAAAAATATGATCGCCCCCCTCAGCATCTGCCCCGGCGCCACTAGACAAGTTTTCTATGACCTTCCGTCCAAAACATCTATGAGCCTTTTTGTGCATTTACTGAGCTAGTAATTTTACCAACTGGTAATTTTACCAGCTCAGTCTTAACATAAATGCACAGAAAGGCTCATAGAGCCTGAAACTTGGGATTAAAGGAAGCTGTTGTACCATGTGTTTTTGGCATAAGATTAGGATAAGAAGACAGAGAGAATTTTTCAGTGAAGACGTCTCAATAAAAGCCAAATTACTTTAATGTTATGTAGAAATGTGCACTTGTTTTAATAGAGATGGTTTCTCGGTGATTCTTTACAATTTATAGCAAAAGGAAGAAATGAGTGGAATGATTGATCACTATGGTTTTTATCCTGCCTCATCTTTGAATCGGCTCTTTCAGGCAGAACATTTTGAGTTACCCCCCAAAGTGACTCACAGGGCTCTTTCTTACACAAAATATAACTTTTTCTAATAAGGAGCAGACCGCATGTTGTGGGCTGGGAGAAAACAATTGTAAAGCTTGTTGTGACTCTGGTCTGTGAAAGGCTTACAACTTAATGTTTTTGAATGAATGAATGAATTTTACAAGACTCTTTCAGTCAGGGAAGTCAGTGTGTTATTTATGAAACAGAGTGTTAGGTACCTCAGCTTATTATTCAAAATAATGTCATTGTAGCACTATGACTTCAGACTCAGAGCTGTTTTCTGCCTCTTAAAACATATAACCTATAAGTTATTTTAGACAAATTCTTAAGAAATTACAAAATAATGCGTAATATTTATTTAAGTTTTTAAGTATATATGTTCCCTTTTTCTGTTTAAGCGACGAGCCTCAGAACACCTCATTCACATCCTGCCGGTCCTCCTCCTTCGCCCACAGCCCCACCTGTCTCGTCCTGGTCTCCACGGCGACCGCCTCTCTCAGCATCGTCACAGTGGCGGGCAACACGCTGGTCCTACTGTCAATCAAGCTCAACCGCCGCCTGCGTACCGTCAACAACTACTTCCTGCTGAGCCTGGCGGTGGCAGACCTCGTTATTGGGCTTGTGTGCATGAACTTCTCCTCTCTGCTTCTGCTACTGGGGCGTTGGCCACTAGGGGGAGCCATGTGTGACGCATGGCTGGTGCTGGACTACGCAGTCAGCAGCGCATCTGTCATGAACTTACTCATCATCAGCCTGGACCGATACTTCTGCGTGACGCGCCCGCTGACCTACCCAACCTGGAGGACAGGGCGGATGGCGTGCGCAATGATTGGCTCGGCGTGGGTTTTGTCGTTTGCGATCTGGACTCCTCCCATTCTGTACTGGCAACACAAAAATGGGAAAAGAGCTGTGCCCGAAGACGACTGCTACATCCAGTTGTTGGTGAGCCCGGCGGTGACGCTGGGGACTACGCTGCCGTCTTTCTACCTGCCCGCCCTTGCTATGGTCATGCTGTACAGCAGGGTGTCGGCGCACAGTCGCGGCCGGCTGGCAAGGGTCGGGTCGAGGCGCAACGTGGGAATCGGAACCGGAGGTGAGGATGGGTATTTTTCAGTGAGTACGTTTATCAAGCATGAGAATATGGAGTACGCTACAAAAATGTACTCAGTTCAAGGGTCAACGTTCTTTCCAAACTGGTCTGACCGCTCTGGGCAAGGTCTACAATTCATCCTATGGAGACTTTTACTCTAAAACTTTTGAACAGCTGTTGTAAATGAAATCACTAGCACATTTAATCCAGGTTTTAGCAGCATGAATCTGAAATGCTGCCTCCCCATGTTTAGTCATCACTCTGGGCAGTGGGCACCAGCAGGAGGCAGTCCCTGTGCTCCTCAGTCCGAGTTGGTTCATATGGCACCAACATGTCAAATATGTACTTTGGTGCAAGGCCATGGAGAGACTTGTATATAAAAGCCGTGGTTAATGTTTTGATATTTTTACTGTAAAAGCTTTTATACACTCAGATATTTTAATAAAAGTAGTGGTGATTTAACTTCTACTTGTTGCTGTAATAATACCAGGTTTGTGGTGTGTGCAGCTGCAGGTGGGAGGAGGTTCTCCACTCCGTCCTTCAAAGAGCTGAGCGTCCTGAGGAGGAACCGCAGCTGGAGCAGTGAACCCGAAACACTGACTATCAACCAATCAGAGGCCAGTACGCCCAAATATGGATGCAACAGGAAGTGCTACAGGAGTCCAGGTATGGTCTTAGGCCTGTTTGCACCTGCAGGTGAAAGCTTGATACCTCAGATCTCAGAAGCTAAGGTCTTGTTTAGACAGACGCTGCGACAGTAAAACAGTAGAGATGGGTAATAGTTTACATGAAGACTGTTTCAGGGGGGTGAAAATGCAAGCTTTGAGAAACTGCCTCCAGAGTGGAACAGACCTGATACGCTGCTCGGCGGGGGGCTGTCTCACAACTGCGTAAAGAAAAATGTTTGAATTCTCTGCCTGCTATGACCTCACCACTTCCCTGCACATACATTTGCACATGTGCTGTAGCCGAGAAAAAACGTAAACTACAATGGCGGCAGCTCAACTAACTAAACCAGCTACGTATGCCACATTTTCGCAGCCACTGTTAAAAGCAGAATGATGGTGGTGCATTCTTTCTGTCTTTGCAGTGGCCTGAGGAGGATGTTGTTGAGGAAGTGGTTAACTGCAGGTAGTCACGTGTGTCGTGTTGTAAAGTTCCACTGCTGCCCGGGCGCTAACTACATTGTTTTCCGTTGTCATCTAAACTCTGTGTAGGAGCCTGGTCGTTTTTGCTAATTGCTTTGCAGCGTCTTCGCAGCGTCTCTGTCTAAACGGGGCCTAAGAAGGGCAGGGCCTGGCTGTGATGGGATCCCTCTGGGAACACCATGTGCCACAGTAGGTTGGCTATATTTTAGGGTGGCAGATTTATACCAAATGTGAAATGGCTTGAGTTTAAAATATTGTTATCATATCTTAATTTAAGAAAAAAAAAAAGTATTACTTATGGGAAAATAACAGATCATTAAAGCATTTTTTGAAATATTGTTATACAAAGTTTTCAATGCTCAGAAAGTAACATCAGCTGATTAAGGACACTCACTAAACCAGGAGACAGGTAAACATATGCTAACAAAGTAATACAGCAAACTTGTCTTTCAAAAGTACCAAACATCCAACCAAAGTCTTGAAGAAAATCCTGAATGACCACTTTACTGCATTTTATTGCCCTTTATTGCACCTTCTTGCACATTACGCCACTGTGTTGTGCTGACGGGTGACTGACCGCTGAGGGGTTGTTGGATCAGACTTGCTCACTGTGTGTGTTGGCAGTGGATTCGTCACCGCCCCAAGGCTCCGACCTGATTGTGCTGCCTTCAAACTCGGGCTCGCCTCTGGCCCTGCACCGCGCCGCGTCCGCCCTGTTCAGCTCCTGCCCCAGCCTCCGCAGCACGGAGCGCAGACGGTTTCTGGCCCGCGAGCAGCGTGTCACCCGCACCATCCTCTCAATCCTGCTGGCCTTCATTGTTACCTGGCTGCCCTACAACGTGATGGCTGTGGTGGCAGCCTTTTGTCACAAGTGCGTCCCGAGGCAGCTGTGGAGCCTGGGCTGCTGGCTCTGCTACATGAACTCTGCGCTGAACCCGTGCTGCTATGCGCTGTGCAACACCAGCTTCAGAAAGACCTTCTGCAGCCTGCTGCGCTGTCGCCGCAAGACCCACCGGTGACTGTATGATGTTTTCATCTGATTAGAAAACATGTGATCTGTTTTATACTTGTACGAAAGAGCCTTTTGAGTGACTATTTGACGCTGAGAGTTGATCTAAAGATGTGGCAGAGGCTAAATTAAGTAGTAATGGAATAGTGAATAATAGTGATGGAACCAAACTGTTTTGGGAGTGAGAACGAGTGACATGGATATAATGGAGCCGTGAAGTGGGCGAAGCTTCGGGGTCTTCGCGGTAATTTGACTGTAATTTTTTTCATTTCAATCCAAACATAAGACTAGACCAAAAGGTACAAGGCTACATTACTTCCTGATTATAAAAAACAATGTAACTCTCTGGAACCATTGCAGGTCGGAAGTATTACTGGCTTGTGTGCAAATCATAGACTGTAAATATTAACGGACGTAGTCACATCTATCTCCACCGTTGAAACTAATGTTCCATCACTGTTGCCTTCTATGGGCTTTTTCAAAATGGCAGCAGGGGCAGAAAAATGTCAAACGCATTTGCGCATGCGTTAGCCGGCAACAGTGCCTTCTGAAGTCCAGAGGCTGAACTAGACTGGTCCAAAAAAATATACTCCCCTCAGCACACATCTGGAACATAGAGTTGGGCCAAGAGGCGACTTTTGGACCATACTGTAAAGCCGTTTTTGAGAGGTAAGAAGGCGCCATACAAAAGCATTGGATAACCCCCACCGGCTAGGAGTGGGATTGCAAGCATGTCAGCGCACGTGCTCATGGACCTTTTTGAGCCAGGATCCACCCCCACTGGTGTAGACAATGGCTGCTAAAAAATTAATGTAGCTGGCTTTACATGGAGGAACGTAGCCCAACCAATGAAAAGCCTCATGGTACGATCATGTGACTAATGCATTCTGGGTTTTGTAGTTCTAGGACGAAGTTCTTACTGTCAAACCCTTTTTTCCTAAACATGTTTTATTCGCTTTCATCTGACTTTGAGATGGGTTCACGTAAATTACGGACTTTAAGACTTTTGTCCAAAATCCACAGATTTTACTGACCTTGAAGCTCCGCCCACTTCCCCAGCTCTAGGCATCATTGCTTAAGCCTTACATTTTTAGAACTTAAAATAATGTCTCTGCGTTGAAACTACATGATCCTTTTAATAAAGTTTTGGTCTATTTTTTTTTACTCCTCTGACTATATTGTGGATTTGAATGAAAAATACTGTCTCAGCAATGGTGACGTAAAGATTACAAACTACGTCAGTGGGTAAAAGAAAAGAAAACAAATATCAAATATATTTAAGAATAAGTCGCCTTTTAATAAAAAAAAACACTTTACACACACGCATATTATTTTAAACACTTATGTAATAAATATGTACATATAACACCATTTACCTAGTAAAACATCCTAGTTCCACCATTTTAATTCAATCCAAACAAACTAACTAATGTCCATGTTTCAATAAAGGACTTTTATTTCACCAGGTAACAGGACTGCATTATTCACTATTCCACTGTGTTTATAACTCTACATTATCTGAGAAGATATTTTCAACCCCCGATGCTCACTTACACCTCTGTGAAAGCAAACTGCACAGAAAGTAGAAATATATTTGGAAATAATATCCAAACTGAATTTGATTTAGGGTTGCTAATATGGTTGCTAAGGATTTTTGCTTGCTAATAAAGACATCTGATTTGTCAATCCTTAAGGCTCATATCTGGATTTAAAAATACAATATTATTATTAAAACAATACATAGAGAGCACTAAACCATGCAGAGGCCCAGAGAGGTGCAATGAAAAAGCCCAAAATGGTGAGTATGACACAAAGAGTTACTAAGCTAAAGGAGTTTACTCTTCAATGTGGAGCCAAAGTTTGGGCTTCATTGAGCTAGCGGTTTAGCATTGTACATTTATGAAGATAGCTGTAGATGAGCTTCAAACTAACTTTTCACTAAGAAAACCCCTTTTATACTTTTGGCTCCAACCAAAATGAGTTTCCTGCAATACACTATATAAATATATCATCACCCAGGTTAAGGGTTAATAGCTATTGCAAACTAGTATGGACACGTCCCACCTTCTTATACAGTATATACAATATTAAACTATTATGTGAAATGTGTGCATCAAAGTCTTCATAAAATAGAAACTTCTCATTTTTATCTCTGAACTTTACTAGTCCAGGATTATAATAATCCTCTCCCAGATTTTCAAGCCATATATCTGGGGATGCAGCCACTGAGGTTGATGAGTTCAGGCCAGGCTCCATACTTGTTCTTCTGCCGCTCGTGCTAAAACAAAATTGAAATACAAACATTACAAACTGATTCGACTTAAGATAATTGTAATCTTATGCTGAAAAATTTAAATAATAATTTTTTTCTCAAAGATAAAGACAAGAGATAGATTTCTGAATATTAACTGAATATTAACTTTCTTATCTGGTCTCTTTCAATATGGGCCTTCACGAGGTTTCTAATATTTCTTCCCACTGGGTTTTTGAGTGGTCCCTTGCCAATGCAGCAAGGTCTAAGGACAGGGATGACCTGGGATATTTAAGGACATTTATTAACATTTCTGGACAGTGGTCATCCCACTCCCTACAGACCAATGGCTCCTATGTGTTAATTATTAATACATTTCATGTTTGATTGAACCGTTTGATTCTCTGATCTGTTGTTGGTGAATTTACAACTTTGGTAAGTCCTTCAAAATGACTGCTGTTGTGATTATCCAAATGCTTTAAAACAGACGAGCCGTGGGACGCATCTTTGCCAATTTATTTCCAGAAGGTATTAGTGTGGATGGAGCAAAAAACTTGAGTTTTTGAAATACAGGATGTGTTCATATAAAAAACTAAAAATTTAAAAAATAATTTTCAATAAGTTATTTTCAAGACCAAGAATCATCCATCCATCCATCAATTTCCTTCCGCTTCATCCGTTGCTGCAGCAGTCTAAGCAGAGACGCCTAGACTTCCCTATCCACACACACTTCCTCCAGCTCAGATCGTTTGTATCCGCAATAGGTGAGTGAGGGAATGAAGATCGACCGGTAAATCGAGAACTTTGTCTTTTGGCTCGGCTCCCTCTTTACCCCAACAGACTCACTGCGCACACTGCCCCGATCCGCCTGTCAATCTCATGTTCCATCCTTCCCTCACTCGTGAACTAGACCCCGAGATACTTGAACTCCTCCACTTGAGGAAAGACCTCTCCACCCACTTGGAGTTGGAGAAGGAAAGGCACCTTTTTCCTGTCGAGCACCATGGCCTTGGATTTTGAGGTGCTGATTCTCATCCCAGCCACTTCACAATAGGCTGCAAACCCTCTGAGTGCATGCTGCAGGTCGACAATGTTGTCCTGTTGGAGCCAACAGGACAACATCATCCGCAAACAGCAGAGATGAAATCCTGTGGTCTCCGAACCGGACCCCTCCAGCCCCTGGCTGCGCCTAGAAATTTAGTCCATAAAGACAGTGAACAGAACCCACCTGTTCAACATGCACCGGGAACAGGTCTGACTTACTGCCAGCGATGCAAACGCAGCTCTGGCTCCGGTCATAAAGGGACCGGACGGCCCTCAGCAGAGGACCCCCCCTCTTAGGACACCCTGGGGAACACGGTCGTACGCCTTCTCCAAATCCACAAAGCACAAGAGGATAGGTTGGGCAAACTCCCATGAACCCTTGAGTATCCGATGAAGTGTATAGAGCTTGTCCAGTGTGCTTTTTATCTCTACGAGCCCTTTCTAGGACTTCTTGAGATCAGCCACTTCTGCCATGTTCCGATGGTACATGCCGTGTAGGGGCTTCCCATGATGGACAGTTTGCAACTTGGTCCCTAAGAGCCCTTCACAGGGTCCTTCATAATCAGGCCCCTCCGCCCTTCTGTTAGCTATGCTGGGTTAGTCCCATCCATTAGCAGCTGGTTCATTTGTGATGCCAGGCGCTCACGAAGTGCTGTGAGTTTCCATAGCCAGTCTGTTCCACTGTTGTTACCCTGCCACTGAGCGTACACTTTCGCAGGTTGTGTTGCAAACAGCCTGTTTACTCATTTAGCTTCATTCTCTTTAGTGTACCTCTGGCTGGCCAGGGCTTGGAGCCTTTGTTATGGAGTTTTGAGTACTTCAGATATGGTCATCTGGCTGTACTTCTTGGGAACCAGTTTTTTCATTGCAGCTCTCTGGGCCTGTCAATTGACTCACTTCTCTCCAAGCTGTGTTTTCCATGGTAGGTCTCATGGCTCCCATGGTTGCTCTTATAGCCAAGTATCTCTAAGATCTCTGCTGCTGAATTGGTTTCCTTGATTGTGGTGGTTGGAATCGCCCTCACTGGTGCACTCACACTTTCTATGAGAATTTCAGGTGGTACTTCACGCAACCACTGTAATCGGTGTCAGGGTTGCCCTGTGCCCATTCTTGCCATGATCTTATCTTTCAGGTTAGTCGCTGCCTCGTCCAGCTTTAGCGGCTCCATTGGGGCTTTGTACCCAATATCTGGTTGGGTAACTATTATTATTATTATTATCATCATCATTATTATTATTATATTGAATTAAATAAATTATCAAAAGCTAAATTCTTGTTTAAGTTACTTTTTCAAACAAGGTTATGACATTGGCTCCTTTTCCGCCCACAAAAATCCAGTTATCTCTGAAAGCAAGAGAGTTCACGGAGGAGCTGCCCAAATCCAGGATCAACATCCGCGCCTCTTCATTTAATCTAAAGAGAATATGAACATTTACAAACATTTTCTTGCTATTTCATTGATAAAACTCCTGCTTTAGTTCTTAAAAAGGTTTTAACTTTGAAGCGGGTTTGTCATATGAAGTGATGAGGACGATGGATCCGATTTCTATCCTTTTCAATAGTTTTCTCAGAGGTTTCACATCTGCAAAGAAAAGAGAACGAGAATGTTTAACAACAGCCATAAGGTTATGCTTTAAAGTGCATTAACGATGAAAAATTAGGCAGCATTTTTGACGATAAAAAATATAATGAGATGGTTTACTTTGTCATTTAATTAATAATATGAAACAAGGATGAAGGGTGAAAAATGCTTCCCGCCTGTAACTCCCTATGCTGCCACCAGCGGGAGGAAGGGAATTCAATTTGTTCATCCATCCATGCATTTTCTTCCACTTCATCTGTAGCCGGGTTGGCTACAGTCACGGGTTGGCTACAGGCTATAGTTGGCTATGTGGGGGCAGCAGTCTACGCCCAGACTTCCCTAAAATGCAATTCCTGCAAACCCATGTGAATGTAAATATTGTAATTTCACTGGAAGTGACCAAAACTAATTTATGGGAAATACTTTAGTTTTAAAGGCGGGTAACTGCTATCTTTATGTGATGTCATAAAGATACAATGACATCATACTGTTACAGGACTGAGACAGAAGTTTTTTTACAGAATGGGCAGAGTTACGTGTTTGTGCCAAAGGTTCCTGATATTAGCGTGAATGGATCTAAACACAGCTCCAGGTCTGTGACTGAAACAATGCTGTAACTTGGAGAAAACATTTATTTATTTAGCATAATATGCTGTTTTCTGGTTTCTGTTTTTATTGTGCCCACCTTGCCGATAGATGTTGAAGTGTCCTGTCTCTTTGACCTCTCCAGTTTTTCCTATAAAAACAAAGGTTCATTTTTCTTAGTTACATTAATTTGTTGATATGACTCAATATATTGAACCCAGACCATTTAAAATCACCACATTAATTCCAACATCAACATTTTTCTTCGCATCTCCAAGAATTCTGTACAAAAAAAGAAATTGGCTTTATTTTGATGTATTTATTTAATACGGACACAACATTTACATTGGACTGCCTTTAGTGTTATAGCAAGACTATGCTAATATTTAACACTTGTCCAAGGAAGGCTTTTATGACATAACTGCACAAATTTAAAATATACAATTAATCAAAAGTACAATTCCATGTGAACAACATTGATCCACTTTCAGCCACATTTGCAGACCTCTGGTAAAGATGTTTACGTCGCTTTGTAGTTTTAGGTCAGTCGAAAGAGCGAGCGAAGCGAGTGTGTAAGATGTTCTGAGGACTGTGTAGTTCCTAAGGAACCACACAGTCTGGCTCTGATGTTTGCTCAATAGAAGCACACAGCCCCACTGACTGAGGCTCTGGTGCTCTGCGCCAGACCAGAGAAAAGCTGTGATACATAAGATGGACTTTATTGATCTCACACAGGAGATTAGTTGAATATTTACTTACAACAAACTTACAACTTTTTCAAATGTAAAAAAGTTATTCAAATATGTTGCAATGATGCCACCTGGTTTCCTGTCAAATATGTTGATTGCCTGTAGTGACAGGACTGGCTTCGGGGTTGTAAACAAATAATTTGATGGTCAAGCTTTAACCATCAACCACCATATATATATATATATATATAATTTTTTTTTATTATTATTATTAGATAAAACAACCCCCTTTAATCTGGCGTATAAACTGGTCAGGGGGTATAAAATGGCCTGTTACACCGGTACCCATTCACCAGTCTGATTTGACTTTAAACAAGTGTCCTATAGCTACTAAAACCTCAAAATAATAAGTCCATAAACTCAAAGCAGTATTTTGGAAGTAATTTATATAACATGGACCCTACGTCATTAGGGCGAAGGCTGGATTTAACACCATTAGACTTACAGCTGGTTCTTGAAGCAGATCTTTGGAGGGACCACGTTTACGGCTCCACTCTGAACGTAAAAACTGAAGAAATCATCAGAGCAGATTATATCTGGACACGGATTCACTTTACAGAAGAAACACTTCCATTAATTGTATAATTATTGTATGTATTTATTTATGTATTATCAAAAAAACAAATCCGGTTTTCAACCTGTCATTTCATTCTTCATAATTTCCAACATGGCTCTTTTGTGTCCTGGACCTGGATCATGGGAGAAACAAGGATGTGAATATTTTCCACCTATGAATTAATTATTCTGTTGAGTATATGAAATTAATTTGCAAGACTAGAAGTGTGAGGGTCCTAAACACGAACATACAATGACCCAGGTCTGTTCTCTATAATATGATGTGGGACTGAGGGGACAGCAATGGGATACAGATAACTTAAAAAGTGTGAATTGCACTAAAAACAGCTTTAACTATATTATAGCAAAAAAGCTAAGAAAAGATTTTTAGGTTATGTCCCCTTTAAAATGTTTCGTATTTTACTTTTTTTAGGTGGATCGACGCCTGTTTTACAATTAAATAATAGTTTTGTAAAGTGCCAATTTGTGAAAGAAAATTGGGAGGAAACGTTCAAAATTTTCAAAGTATAATAAACATGTTTAGATAAGTTTGTGTAAGCTCTCAGTCGTACAGGGATTAGTCAAAGCAAAGGAAGGTTTCTCACACATCTGTACTTCTTCGAAGGTTTTCCCGACGTTTCGTCTTTAATCCAAAGGCTTAAGGACGAAACGTCGGGAAATCCTGCCAAGAAGTATAGATGATGGGGAACATGTTTAGATTTTTCCATTTCATAAAAAATAAAGCTACTAAAATATTATTGGACTTATTTGTTTTTTTTGAGGGGACCATGGATGTTAACTTGGACATCTGCAGGTGAAAGCCAGTTCCCGCCAGGCTCTGACGCCAGGAGAAACACCAAAACAACCGGCATTAGCCCTGCAGCATTAGCCCAGCAGCATTAGCCCTGCAGCATTAGCCCAGCAGCATTAGCCCAGCAGCATTAGCCCAAATCACATCCATGGGCTTTAAAGGTACACTGTAATTTTTAGTGCCATCTAACGTGGAGATCTTATATTGCAGTCCAATATAATACGGGTGCCTTTGAGTTGGGGAGCACTGTTGCCTATAGCGTTTGACAGTGCTCTTCAACTCTGTCATTCCCCAGACTGCCAAAGAAAGAATACTTTAGTTTGATAAATGACTGGATCTCTCCAAATGTCTCGGGCACTTGACACAGTCGTGTGGAGGCGACGTGTAAACAAGACCGCTTTCAGACGAGGCACCCTGCGCAGAGGCTCTACTGAGTTTTTATCTATTATAATATATAGTTTTACAAACGCGGTGTGAAGAGAAGAGACGCATGGGGGAATGACGTCTGTGGGAGCTTAAAACTACGATGATCAAGTAAGTAAGTAATCTTTATTTTTTTACCGCCTTTTCACTGCAGATCTGAGTTTCAAAGCGGTTTACAATTGTTAATTTTTTGGGCATTTGTCTCTCATTCCACACAGAGGGGAGCAGGGTTGCCTGTACAGGAGGCGCATGTCAGAACTATAGGACATATTTTTAGTGGAAAACCTACGCAGACACGGGGAGAACATGCAAACTCCACTCAGAAAGGCAATACATGGTTTTCCACTGACGTCACGCACTACCCACAATTCCGCAGTTCGCCATTTTAAAAGTCAAGCCGCTGCTAGTTGTAGATAAACACATCGGGAATATCACTTTTTTGCGCTAAAACATGCCGACTGCCTGCATCGTTTGGGGGTGCAGTAACCGTGCAGATTGTGGGGAAATTCCGAAGGCTATTACGAGCCAGGGGAGCCACTCTCGACTGAGAAAAGAACACTTTTCTTCGGAGGATCAACCAAGAGGGATTCAACCCTAACCCCTGAAAAACGGCACTATAAGGTCTGTTCTGACCATTTCATAATAGAGAGCTAGCTAAATCTATGCATGTGTGGTTTATATTCAGAGCTGCGTTTTGACTGTGATACTAAATCTAAATGAATGAGAGGGGGGAGGAGGAGGGGGTAAGGGTGGTAGACAGAAGTGATTTACGGCCTGTGATATCAACTGCTTCGTTCAAAATAAATTATTAATTGAAAGAAATGTTGCATCATATACATCATGACCTTGTAAAACAGCCATTTCGGGCAAAGTCCACTGGTCTCGCTGCGTTTCATATGGATCCAAATCTCCGATCATTCTCAATTTCTCCAAGGATCTTGCCTCACAGATTACTCCAGTGTATCAATATACTTAACGCGGTCAGCGTCGGCCGAATTTGTGGCTTTAGATGACATGGAGACAAATGATCCATGACCAATTATCCATGACAAATGTTACGTGCAATATAAGCTTGACATGCAACATGGCGTTTGCGCAAAGCATCATGGGTAATAAGCATGTGATGGAAAACCATGTATATTACACATCCACGGGAGGACATGGCTAAAAGCTCATGTTAGCTTTAGCGTTAGCCACAGCGTCCTATCTGCGTCACGGTAAGAAAAACAGAACATTCACTCACGCTGCTGAAAAAGTATTCTGGCGATTGTTTTGTGGGGATTCTGTGTGTGTTTTATTTGAGGCTTTTCCCTGAATAAGTTTAGTTTAAACTTATTACATAGTAGTTGGACTGCGCTCGGATCGGGTCAGAACATCCTGAGACAGTGTTGCAGAGCATCAACAAATGTCAAGACCAGCTTTGTAAACAAATAATAGCTTTTACTGAAACATGTACACGCACTAAACTCTCAGACACTATAAATAATGACCATATCTAACTGCTTACATTTTAAATGAATGAATTTAAATTGCTTTTACAGTAAATGGTCTTTACGGTAACATACATAAATAAAGTATGTTACAACATTTGTCTCAAGAGTTCCACCTGTTTATTTTATTTAATTTTTGACAAAGGATTTGTTTTTTGTTTTTTAAGAAGGCGACAGTAGCTCAGTTGGTAGAGCATTGGCCTTTGAGCCAGAGGGTCGTGGGTTCAAGCCCGACTTTCACCAGCGACTCCCGCTGTCTGCTGTCGTTGTGTCCTTGGCAAGACACTTAACCTCTGGGAACACCAGCCACAGTGGGGCGGCTGCGGCTGTAAAGTGCCAAACTGCCGTTGTGTCCTTAGGCAAGACACTTCACCCCCATTGCCTAGAATGAGTCTGTTAATGGTTGGTGGTGGTCAGAGGGGCCGATGGCACATACTGGTTGCCTCGCTTCTGTCAGTGTGCCCCAGGGCAGCTGTGGCTACAGTAGTAGTTTATCATCACTGTGTATGGAGTGAAATAATAATGACATGTAAAGTATCTTTGAGTTTCCAAAAAAGCGCTATATAAAACCGATGCATTATTATTATCAATTAATTAGGTTATAAAAACTGATAATGAAATTCCATGATTCCTGTGTAGATTGAAATTAGAACTTAAAAGTGCTCAACCTGATCCCCCCAATGGTGTCCCTTATTTTTCTGTTCTCAAGTTGGCAACCCTACCCACTAACCACAGGGTCTTCAGTTCAATCATGGTGTCTCTTTAATATGGAATAATATTATATGCTAAAAATGTATTAAATACTGGATTAAATACTGGTGATTTTGTTTGTGGAGACTGGACACACCTGATTTTAAAACTCAAAAAATATACATATTAGGTTCTAATATATATAAATAACACTCTTGACTATTTTATGCAAGAACCTGCAAGACCTATTGAAATTCACACACCATCCATCCATCCATCCATTTTCTTCCCCTTAATCCATCTCTGGATTGGGGGGGTGGCAGTCAGAGATGCCACCCATTACACAGAGCACCAGCCCCTCGCTGATCCTCCTGCAGGTGGTGAGTCCACAGGAGCTGAGATCTTTCAGTGGGGGCTTCAAAGTTGGGTTAAGTGTCTCGCCCAAGGACACAACGACAGCAGTCATCAGTGGGAGTCGTGAAGTAGGTCTCATGGTGGGCTTGAACCCACGACCTTCAGGCACAAAGGCCAATGCTCTACCAACTGAGCCACTGTCGCCCCCTATTGAAATTCACACACCAAATTAAACCGCAATATATACCGTTTACCGTCTGTGTCCCAAATTATACCGCAATATGAATTATTGGCAAAATCGCCCACCCCTAACCTCTGGGGACACCAGTGGCACTTTACCCACATTGTCTAAAACAGACTGGTTGCCTCGCTTCTGTCAGAATTCCCCAGGACATCTCTGGGGCATTCACCACCGTGTTTGGAGTGAATAGATAATGACATGAGAAGCGTCCTTGAGTGTCCAAAAAAGTGCAATATAAAATCATTAACATATGTCAGACTCACCGCTGAATATGTCGCTGTACTTTTGGAGTAGGATAAGGGAGAAAGAGGCCAAACCCAGAGCCACCACAATGAACTTCCCAAATCCTGAAGGTAAAGACACGGAAAATAAATAGTATGAAAACAAATTGTGGGACTTAATTTCTACCTTTTACTTATTTAACAAACTCACTGAAAATACTGGTGCGAGGCCTTTTGGCTCGACCTAGAAAATGAATGTATTTAGTGATCAGTTTAAAATGAATCCTGTCTCTCTGGTTCCTCTTTCTCATTATTGTTTCATGAAGGTGTGACAATAAGCAAAACTTTCAGACATCAGAATATGGCTTTGTGAAACTAACCAATCTGTCAGAGTTGCACTGGAACCTTCCCTCCAGCTGATATACAATTCTACAACATGAACCCAACCTATGCAAACTTGGGCAACAAATTTTCAAAGCACAACAATGGAATGTAATAAAATCCACGACTCTTTCCTTGCTCTCAACTCTTCTAGTTTTCACACGTATGTAACCAAAACTCATTCGGCCATCAGCTCTCTGCTCAAAGTGTCAAATAGTGACACAAAATGCTTACACAAAAGAAGACATGTCTTCTAATGAGATGAAGACTATTAGTGCTGGTTTAGACCAGTGTGGTTCCACAGTACTTGGGGTCCACCCGAACAGCAGACTGGAATGATAGAACTCCAATGCTGTGTACAAAACGGGCATGAGCAGACTCTATTTCCTGAGGGAAGCTCAGGTCTTTCCACGTGTAGTGAATTGCTGGAGATCTTCTACCAGTCTGTGGTGGCCCGTGCCCTTTTTATGCTGTGGTCTGCTGGGGGAGCAGCAGCACCAAAAGGGACCTATCCCAGATTGACAAGCTGATCCGTAAAGCTGGACAGGTGAATGGCTGTCAGCTGGAGGCATTTATGACAGTGAGAGACAGAAGGACACTGGAAAAACTGCTCTACATTATGGACAATTCCACACATTCACTCCACCGGACTATAGAGGGGCAAAGGAGCTCCTTCTCAAACGAACTACAGCTCCATTGCCACAGCGAGCGGTACAAGAGCATGTTCACCGCTCTGTGACAGATAACACATTCATCTAAACAGACATCAAGTTTTTCTGCTTTGTCCATGAATATATTGTATATTAAAAGATGTTTACTGTTTCACTCACCCACTCTGACCTGCAACATGTTTCCTCTGTCGTCTCAAGTAAATCAGCTGCACAAACCGGTCCTTCCTGATTCACCTGTGCCCAAATGGACCAATCACAGTGCACCAGTCCCCAAAGGGACCAATCAGACGCACGGTCCTGGAAAGAATCCACCTGAGGGAGAGAAACACAGGAAGTATGCAAATATATATACAACAGAGAGTGATGTAGAGGGAATGTAACCATAAAAAATGTGACTGATCAAAACTACCATCTAATAACATTAGATCGTGTATAATATAGTGTCTAAAGCATACTTGGAGATTCTTATCCTGCATTCGTCTCCAGTTGGTTAGTCTACTGTTTTTTTCATTGCTTATTAGCCATATATATTATAATAACTGGATTTAGGAACTTGAAAATGCAATAATTAACCTTTTTTATTACGTATTGAATAAATATCGGCGTCAATCGAAATTTCACCCGAAATTTCACCCGGAAGTGAAACAAGTTTGTTTACTTCAGCCCTATTCGCACGGGATTAGTATTACCTGTGTGTACGGTCCGTGTACTTTTGCGTTCAATACATTTTCTATTTTTGAAGGGAAGTGGAAAATTGTAAAAAGGCTATTTTGCATTTTCAGGCACACAGCAATATACAAAAATTACCATTTTCTGATTTGGGAACTAGAAAATGCAATAATTGACCTTTTTAAAAATGTATTTAATACATTTCAGCGTCAAACGAATACCCGGAAGTGAAACAAGTTTGTTTACTCGCACGGGATTAGAATTATCTGTGGACCGCTGATAATTTGTGATAATTGTGGAGGGCGTCTGAGATTTTGCAGTGCATTCACACGGGATAAGCAATATCTGTAAAATACTATTTTCACATCTCACATAAACCCCAGTTACTTAATGTAACTAAGGTTCTATGAATATGTTGCGAAGCCCTTTAGGCTTCGCTAATGCATATCTCTCGGAAGCATCGCTTCCCGCCCTGAGAAGATCAAACGATCCACCCTCCAATCACCTTCACGTCCTGGCGTAGGCCAGTCCCCTATAAATAGGGCCATGCACCACAGCTCTTCTCCTTTCGAACTCAGCCGAATAAGAGAGGGCAGGCCTGCTGGGCTCGAAGCTAAAGGGCTTCGCAACATATTCATAGAACCTTAGTTACATTAAGTAACTGGGGTTTCTATTTCATATGTTGCTTCGCCCTTTAGGCTTCGCTAATGCATAACATAGCGAAGCCCAGACCGATGTACTCCCAGCAGGCATGAACTCCGGTGATTGGAGCAAACTCGTGACCCACGTGCTCATACCGCAACCAAGCGGTAGAGACGGAGGTCCTACGAGCCATAGAGAAAGGGATGCTGGGCCACCTCTCCCAAGAGTGCCCACGCATTCTCCAAACTGCAAAGCAGGAAAGAAATCAGAACAAACCTGGGCAGGCAGCCTCTCCCAAGAGCGCCTGATCCCCAGGAGTGTAAAGCAGACTGCAGAAGGGCCTAGGCCGCCTCTCCCAAGAGCGCCTATCCTTACTGCAGAGGTGTCCTGGCCGCCTCTCCCAAGAGCGCCAACACCTCTCCACACAACCCCCCCCCTGCAGACCAGTTCTCACCGAGGTCTGTCGAAGGAGGAACTAGGGCCGCCCTGCACTCACTCAGGCCACCTCCAGTAGGTAAAACTGCACAAAAGTCGAGGAGGAGGACCAAGACGCCGCTCTGCAGATCTCCTCCACCGAAGTGCCATGTCCATCATGCCCTCCCGATCGGGGAGGGACAAACAAGACGGCTGCACGGAAAAGGCGCACAGATCCCCAGACCTCTTGGCCGAAGCCCACGCCCACAACAATGCCGTTTTGTAGGACAATGAGGCAATGGTCGCATTGTCCAGGGGTTCAAATGGAGGCCCTGAAAGGCCAGCCAAGACCACCTGAAGGTCCCAAGACGGAGCCGACCGCCGGAGGGGAGGCCTGATCCTGCGGGCCCCTCGTAGGAACCGCGCAGAGTGGCTACCAAACCCCTTCGTGCCCAGTGGTAATGGCCGCCGCGAACACACCCAGAGTGGCGGCCGCCCTTCCATTTCTCCAGCAAGAACTGGAGAAAAGCCAAGACCTCCTGGATGGAGGGATGTTGGACCCCACTAGGTGGGGTCCAACATCTGTCCACGCACCAAGAGGCGAAGAGTTTCCAGCGAACCTCATACGCTTTGGTGGTGGATGTAGCCCTCCCACCCTGAATAGTAGCGACCACTGAGGGAGGGAGACCAAGGCTCAACATGAGCCTGCTTCCCAGGACAGGGCGTGAGTAAAGGGCTCCCCCTGCCTGTCTCAGAGCATCAGGACGGTCCGGAACGGGCCAAGGCGGACTGAGCGCCATGCTCACCAGGTCCGGATAGCACCTGGCTCCCGGGCTGTCCGGCGCCACCACCAGGATGGAGACTCCTTCGTCCTCACCCTGTAAAGCAGGGCTGCCAAGAGCCGGCGAGGCGGGAAGGCGTAGAGGAGACCGTTGGGCCACGACCGGTGCGCCATGGCTTCCACCCCGAGAGGGGGCTCGTTGCTGGACCTGAGCGAGAACCAGAGTGGGCACTGTGCGTTCTCTGCATTTGGGAAAAAGTCGGCCACCGGTGTCCCGAACCGGAGCCAGACCTCTGCCACGACCGCTGGGGCGAGACCCCACTCGTCCCGCAAGGCCTCGCCCCTGGACATCCTGTCGGCGGCCACGTTACGCTCGCCTGGGATATGACGGGCTCTCAGAGAGGCTAGGTGAATGTCCGCCCACAGAAGAACCTCCACTGCCAGCCTGTGAAGGGCGGGGGACCTGGTCCCCCCATGCCTGTTCAGATATGCTGCCACAGTGGTGTTGTCCGTCCGAACAATCACCTGTTGGCCCTCCAGTCTGGTCATGAAATGGGCCAGCACCAACCGCATCGCCTCCAACTCCAGGAGGTTGATGTGCCCCAAGGGGGAGGACCAAACGCCTCCTGTCGAGTGGTGGCCGAGCACGCCTCCCCAACCACTCAGTGAGGCGTCCGTGAAGACCTTGATGTGGTGGTCCACAACACCCATTTGAACTCCCTCCTGGAGTCGACCTGGGGACAGCCAGAAGGCGACGTCGTTCTGAGCCCTCAACGACAGTCGCTCCCTCCGTGATAAGCCCCTGAGGTGTGAGAACCACCTCTGGAGATATCGCATGTGCAGCAACCCCAGTCTCACCACTGGATGGGCCGCTGCCATCATGCCCAAGAGAGACTGGATCTGCCGCGGTTGCACCCGAGGTTCACCCAGAACGATCCGGCCCAGGTTCTGAACCGCCGCTTCTCTCTCTGGCGAGAGTGAAGCCGTCATGCTCCTGGAATTCAAGCCCAGTCCCAGATACGAGATCTCCTGGGCCGGGCACAGGGAGCTTTTGTCTCTATTGATCACAAACCCTAGGTGGGCACGTGGTTTAACACTCTGAACGTTTGATCCTGCGCATCCTCCCGGGAGGACAGGATCACCATTCGTTGATATACGTCAGTGTCCTGAGGCCCTGACGCCGAAGGGGTTCTAGCGCCGCCTCCACACACTTGGAGAAGGTGCGGGGGGGCTAGGGAGTAGCCGAGTGGGGGACCGGAGGAACTTCTTGTGCCCCTGTGCAATGGGTTTGTGAAAATTCGCGTCGTGGAGGTCCACGGAGGACCTCCAGTCCCCGGGCCTGATGCTCAGGAGTAGCTGTTTACTGTGGGCATGCAAAACAGTCGCTTGGCTATGCAGCCATTGAGGACGAGCAGGTCCAGCATGGCCCGCACCCCTCCGCACTTTTTTTTTTTTTTTTTTTTTTTTTTTTTTTATTCTTTGGGGACTAGAAGTATGGAGAGTAAAACCCTGTCCCTGTCCTGAGCGGGTCTACCTCCACTACCGCCCGGCGCTGCAGAAGCGTGTTGACCTCCCTGTGAAGCGCCACGGCGTTCTCCGGCTGCCTAGCCCTGTCTGGAGAATGCCGCAGAAAGGAGGGGGCCGCCAGGAGAACTGGAGAGCATAGCCCCGACTCAGCACTCTGTGTATCCACAGAGTTCCCCGGAGCCCCGACTGTTCCGATACAGTGACAACATGGGTCAAGGGAAGCACAGCGAGATGGGAGGAGGGAGAAAGGCCTGGTCCGCCCACAGATGTCCCATCCTGGGGAGGCATCGGATAGTGGGGGGCCCGTGGGAAAAAGGCCTGAGCCCTAGCTACGGCCCTGGGCCTTTCTCTGGGTGGCCGCGTGAGGGCAGGTGTGCCGCACTTACGTGGAGCCGAGCCCCTGCTCCCCAACACTGTGGACCAAGAGGGGGCCGAGCAGTCCCGCTTTTTGCAGTGGGGGGCCCCTTGAAAGAGGGCTGGGCCCTAGCTGCGGCCCTGGGCCTTTTCCCGGGTGGCCGCGTGACGGCGGGTGTTCTGCGCTTACGTGGAGCCGAGCCCCTGCTCCCCAACACTGTGGACTGAGGCCTGTTTCACACCGCACGCCGAGCGCAGAGCCGAGCGCCCTTTCCAGCCGAACTACCTCGCGGCGAGCGCATGTATTCATACTGACGCCGAGCGTGGGCGAAGCGCCTAGACGAGTAGCACGCACAAAAGGAGTAGTATTGTACTCCAAACTAATAAACATGTTGTATATTTACATATGTTGTCTGATATAACAGGTCAGAAATCAAAATAGCACATGTAGACCTTAAATAAATTGCTAACATTTCCTTATAATGTATCTTATAGCCTATTTTGATTGTCGTTTCATTATCATAGTGTGGTGTTGGAGGGTGCTGCTCACAAAGATAAACATGACACTAGAACATGTGGACACAACTGTTGTAGTTTGTTGCATCTTACACAACTATTTAAGCAATCCATCAGACAATCGAAGATGGTTGGAGGAGTCTAACCAGGGACAAATGTGCATGCGTAGGTCAGTTGGAGAGATGGGTGGCCATAGACCAAGCCAAGAAGCTGCCTCAGTAAGACAGAGATTCACTGATTATTTCCAGTCAGCAGCAGGAGACCTCCCACATGCC